ATTGATTTTTTTTTGTTTTTTGCCATAATTTCAATTTAATCTTTTCTGTTTTGAAAAAAAAAAAAAAAAAAAAAACACTCACACTCTGTCAGTGGAAAAACTTTGAACTCTCTTTTGTGCTACATGGAGTCCCGTAGAGCCACATACTTATCTGTTTCTTCTAGAAAGAGAAAAAGAAAAGTCCTGCCATTTGTCTGCATGGTTATGACTAGTAATGATATTTTTTTCCCACAGTAACCCTCAAAGATCAAAACTAACAAGTAAAAACAAGACTACAAGTCGTTTTATATGCACAGAAGTCAGATAGGCATTTGCTGACTATGCAAGCTGTTGACAGATTGGCTCAAATTAAAATACAGAGACTACTCAGACAAGAGAAGATCTAACTAGATTCTGCTTTTTTTACCAACCTTTCCCTATTCTATCCAATAAGTATATGCTTGCAATCAATGTAAATTCATTTGGGCCAGGTTTTGCTGGACAACTCTGTTTGACCATCTTTAATTTAACATATTCAAACTAAAATATACCTCCATCTCTCTCTGTCTGTACAATATGAGAATTAAGCTGTTCTGGAAGCTTGAGGGTTTGTAGGTCTGCACTTTGTTGTGCAATGCCAAAGCCCATTCCTGTCCTTGTTAGATTGGAGCACTGGTTGAATCCAGTAGGACTCACTTTGGGCTTATAGGGCTAAAGGTTCAAGAAAATAAAAAAGACGCCTTTGTTTCGACACCTTGTGGTGTCATCCTATATTGTATTTTAACGATCCGATTAAAGTATAGTATACGTCTGTTTTGTTAGTTGGAATTAGATGTCTTAAATGATTGCAAAAATGATCTATGATTGAAGACTTTAAAAATAAACTATTTTAATCGTTCAATTAAAATGTGTGGTTGACTCCTCAATGTGTCCTTCAAATCGAATAAGATTATGGGATTATTTGAGGAATTTTTTTTCTTTTCCAATTTTCTTTAGTTTTGTCTTGGAAAGGGAGTTGGGTCAGAAAACATTAATTTTGCAGGTACAAACCCTAACCCGCCGAAAATAAAAAAGCCAAAACCGGGCTAGCTAGTGTGGTCCAAACACTTTCCAGCCCGTTAATAATTATTTCATATGAGATTTTCATGGAATCATCAATCAAGACATTTCCTTGATGCCAATAATTGATGAGATTTTAGAGACAATTTTTTTTTCTGCTGTGATTTGTGTACAATTTTCACCATCATCAAATCTATTTCCTAATTGTTGCCCTAATTGCAATTTTTATTCTTCCCTTAATTTGCTTCATTATTGGCCTGAAGTCAGAAATTATATTGGGCATGGGAAAATCCAATTTCATGGTATGAGAGGGAACCTAAGAAACAGGCTTTGGCATATTGGATATAACATTTCCATGGTTTCAAACTTCTGAAAACCTTCGTTTACATAACATTAATATAACCTAGATTAAGGAAAATGGAAAACAAGTTTGTGCTGGCTAGTGAGCTCTTACAATGAAAATACTTAATTCTGGCCCTGCAGCCCCATCTGGATTGATCATGTACAAAGCCTCGGAGTCCTTTGATCCAACAACCCTCTCAAACCTTGCCCTTATGTAGGTCAGTTCCCCATCTGATGCATATTCTTTTTCGGACGGGCTTGGAAGCACCCCTGCCCCCATTGAAACACCCCTCAAAGTCTGCATAACATGAAGCTCATCCTCTGACATTTGCTTCCTCCGAATCGAATACCCCACCTTTCTTCCATTACAATACACAGCCCAAACGAACTCCTCCAGCAGCTTCTTCTTGTTCGTCTTGGTCTCGCTCTCCAGCGCGATTCGGACTATATCCGATGCCATTTCCTTGTGGAACACACTACTGTGCATTGGCAGCTCTATCACAAAGAGTGGCATGCAATGAGGGTCTTCTTGTATGGCCAGGCTTACCCTGCCTTTTCGATACCCGAAAATTGTACCTGTGGTGGCATTGTCCTTAAGTAAAGGCTTTCGGGGTCTTCCCAACAAGGCCACCATTTTGCAGCCTGATGTCAACATGGGGAAGAGTTTGAACATCTTGAGAAGGCCTCCGGATGAGGACTTTGATGAACGTTTTTGGCCCGGTGTGTGACTATGCCGGAGAAAATTCAATATAGCCGAGTTCTCCATGTGGTAGAAGGGGCTAGAGTGCACAGACGGCATTGCAGGATTTTGGTTGAGGTATGAATTCAAGAAATACAGGAAGGGTATTTTAGATAAGAGTATCTCAAAGTGTACGCGAATTGGGGATATATATAGAGAGAGGGGAAGGTAGAAATTTAATTTGGTTGGTCACTTGGGTGTGTTTGTGTTGTGTCATTGGAATCTTTGAAGTGGGAAAGGAAATACAGACCCTTCATTTTTTTCCTTCAAGTTTGGTTAGGAAAGGAAACCTAATGGGACTAAAAGATTGATGTGACAAAGTTTCGAGAAGAGAAGGGAAGGGGGTTGAATGTGATAAGATAAGGGAGGGCGGACCACAAACAGAATGCGGGCAAGGGCCAGGTGGGGGAAGAAAAAAAAAACCACCAAAAAAGATACATGAAAAAAGGACTGTGTCAATGTTGGTTTGGCATGTGCTTCTCTGATCATCTCATAGAGCATCAATATCAGCTGCTTTATGCTTTTCCAAACCCCATCCTAAGTGCTCAATAATTATTGAGGTGCAGCTCATCTTTCCCCTCAAACAGTTCTTCTGTTTATCCATGGAATTTGCTTTCTTTCTTTTTTTCTTCCTCTCTTGTTAGTGACCATCTCTTTCTCTGTTTCCTTTTAGTTCCTTTCAGAGATGGTCTTATCAGAAAGCCATGTTAGGCAGCAAAAGCCAGTGATTGAAATAATTGGCTTGTATCCGAAGTGCTTTTTCTAGTTTCTGGTGTTTTTTTTTTTTTTTTTGCGTTCAGCAAGGCATCCCTTGCTCATTTTGAGTTCAAACTGCTGCCAGTGTTATGTGTTGCAGAATTATAAATTTGTTCCCAGAACAAAAACAACAAAAACAAAAATTAAAATCACTCAATTTTACTAGCAAATAAGTCCAAGTAGGAGGCCACTGCCATTGTCCAACACCTAGATGGGGCTCCTTTGTCATGATCAGCTATAAAGAGTCTGTACTGTCAGCATCACCATGAAACCACGATCATTGACAAATATTAAACAGCATCTCTCGTGTTTTAGGCACCTTTTTTTGTGTTAAAGTTTTAGGCCTTTTTATTCTTATAATATTTTTTTGTTAATCAGTACTTGTAACGAGTATTAACCATAATTAGAAAGGAAGATTATAGAGAGAAGGGACAATGCTACTCTTTAATCAGTATGCGGCAATCACCTAATCGTACATCTGCTGGCTGCTTTTTTTATTTTTATTTTTTATTTTTTAATCAGATAATAATTCATGATGAAATAATACAGTTCAAATTAAAAATTCAGTGCTGAAAACTCATGGAAAATAATTGGTTTTAATTCCATGATTGTAGCCATTTTCTTTTTGGGAAATGACCCACTAGCTGAGCAAACATCTACCACATGTATGGTTGGAGGAGAGAAAAAGCTATGGTCATTTAAAGCATACACTTTGGGTTTGGATGCAAGACCAAGTTACCTGCAGCAAAGGTGGGTTCCATATGAATATATATGAATTTGCCAAAAGAGTTTAGCTTGCCTTGATGCAACATAAAGTTACAACCAAAACCATCACATGACCACTTACAACAGTGTTAAAAACCAATAATATAGATTTGATTGATTTGAAGCGTGAATATACAAAGTATTTCTCTCTTATCTAAATAAATACTTATGTTGTCAGACTGTGAATCTGAACCACACGTTCAATAAAGAGTTAAACTACACTTGTCTTGTTAATCGACAATCTAACAAAACAAAATTTTCATATACCACGCGTATACATCAATTGATAACTTCAATTTTTGGATGATTGATAATTGGAGATGGTGTTTTTTGCAAATCTAAAATAGATTAGATAATTGTTTGAAAACTCATCCACCTATCATTTCATTCATTAGAATTATTGTGCTTACGATGGGATGGTTAGATGCGCTAGCTCTTCTGGTAATTGTATGTCACAAGATGTAGTTTTGGTTTGCAACTTTATTTCGATAAAAGCAGAGTTTGCACAGTTTTAGAAGAAAAGTTTGCTTTAAGTGTTTGATGTTAAGAGATTAGACAATGTGGTGGACAAAGCATGCACAAACAATGAAGTCAAGATCTCTCTCTCATCGCTCAATAATTGATCTACAAGTTGTTGTCAAGTTAGGCGCTTGTTTATGAGGGCTTAACAACAAAAATAAGTTGATTACAACAAAGATAGTTCTTGTTTCTGACATGATGAAAACATATGTCAACAGCCCAAATCACCATATATTTTATCTTTGTATTGCTTACTTTTTAAGATAGTGATCACTTGTGAAATAATCCACGCTAAATATCAACTTAGTAAATAGTTAAATGGAATAGGGTGAGCACTGTTTGATTTGCTTCGAGTTTGACATTAATCCGCGTGCTAAATATGTAACATCATGGTTCAAATTATTTTAGTATATGCCTCAAATTAATAGTATAAATTGAATCAAATCAATTTATATACTGACCGATTCAGCTCCATCGTTTCCTCTTATACGAAGTTAAGCAAGTATTTAGAGAAAACATTTTACAATTGAAGGATGTAGAAATTTAAGAATTTTTGTTTTGGTAATAAATGGTTAATATCAATGTGGGAGATGAAAGTTAACTGTAAATGTTGATAACAGATTGAAGAAATCAATATCAGGGAGCTTCTACAATGATGAGTTAAAGTGAGGAGACCGATCCGACCGTCAAAACATTTAAAATATTTAAGTCCTATTATTTCTTTACATTTGTTGATGGCGAGATTTGACCTCCTCAAATAACCTCCTCACTTTAAACCCTCATTATAGCCTTTCCGTCAATATCATAGACTATTTTAAAATAGGCCAAACCGAAGTGAACCAAAATAATTGCAGTTTGATCCAATTTGATCCAAAACGCTTCTGGCATTAAAAGTCAAACGAAACAGGCAAATCACCTCTGGGCTTAAAACTAACGAGATCTCGGGCCATAGAAGTGATTTTAGGGCTCATAAGAGGCTCGACGGTTTTCATACCCGGGCCATAGTACCGTTTGAAGCCCAAACCTTGAAAGCCCGCGGTTTCCCGCCCATTCCAAAACGTCCAAACGGTGTTTTTGTGCACATGCTTAAAAAACGGTATTTTTCTGGGGTGCGATTTCCTGGAACACACGGTCTTATTTTAAAAATATAAAAACGCAGATTGGAGAGTCTCAAAATGGCTCTCTCAGTCTCGTCCATAGCTACTCTCACTCTCACTCGCTTCTAGTCTTCTTCCTTCAATCGTATTAGTAAACGCTTCAGCTCCCGAGCCCCAACTAACAACCACAACCGCCCGCAAATGTCGTCTTCTTCGTCTTCTCCCACGGAGCCCAAGCAATCAGAAAAAATCTCAGCTCCTTACGGCTCCTGGAAATCCCAAATCACCGCCGATGTCGTCTCCGGTGCCTCCAAGCGACTCGGCGGTACCGCCATTGATTCCCTCGGCCGCCTCATCTGGCTCGAGTCTCGTCCCTCTGAATCAGGGTATCTATCTATACTCTCGTAAGTTTTCATGGATTTATTTGTATTTTGACCAACGAGGAACTGTTTGGTGTATGCATAGACGAGCGGTTCTGGTGAGAGAACCGGATAGACCGGAGGGTGAACCGGTTGATATTACGCCCAAGGACTATGCGGTTCGGACTCTGGCTCAGGAGTAAGGAGGTGGCGCCTTCAGTGTTTCGGGAGATACACTCATTTTCTCCAATTACAAGGATCAACGCCTTTACAAGCAGTCCCTGAGTTCCAATGGTATATGATGTTTTCCATATCATTGTTTATATACCTCTTGTTTTTTTCCGAATTCTCAAGCAAAATTATATTAATGTTTAATTAGGAAGATGATGACTTGTGTTAATATTGGTGCTAGTCAGTAAGGCATTTATGTGTCAATCCCATTTCTCATTTTGTGTAGATCGTCGTCAAAGCAGTACTAATTCGACAACAACAATTGTAACAGTAGGGCTAGATGGCAAGAACATTCGGGGTAAGAGGTTGTCAAAAACCCATGTCTTGCTTCATTTTCCTATGCCATAGTATATGTGTAACACTAAAAGTATTGCAGTACATCTGATATTATTTAACTAATGCGGGTATCATGTAACATCCAGAACCAGAAGTACTAATAGGCGGAACTGATTTCTATGCTTTCCCGCGTTTGGATCCCAAAGGTGAACGACTGGCATGGATTGAATGGTGCCATCCTAACATGCCATGGGACCAGGCTCAACTTTGGGTTGGGTATATATCCGACAGCGGGTAAGCAAATCATTTTTCAGGATTCATTCTCTTCTTCAGTTCCAAAATTTATCTTTACAAGAAACATTAGGTCACCACTGAAGACACTAATATTTCAAAGTATGGCTTGTAATATGCACACTTCGTGCATTCTTTGAGTTCTATTCACATATGATGTAGTTATATTTACTCAATACTGTTATAAAGGTGCATATAAGAATAACATTTTTTACATAGCTTTTTTGTCCTTCAGTAACTCTGTTCTTCTTCTTGCTGTTGTCCTACTCTATGGTCACTTGGTTTAATAATAAATCCATATCCATTATTGGAGGTTCATTTTTTAAATTCTGAACGGATTTGTATCTGCTCCATGCAGAGAAGTCCATAAACGAATCTGTGTTGCTGGCTCTGATCCTACGATTAAGGAGTCTCCAATTGAACCCAAGTGGTCCTCTAAAGGTACCCTTTTTCTATTATTGGTTGATGAACATATTTAACATATTTAACTTTGGAATGTATTATTAAAGGCTCATGCTAACAAGGTATACTGTACTGAACTTACTACAAGTATTGGGTACATCTATTAGCAGGGAAAACCTATATGTGCATCCTTGGCTAAAAGGGGAATTTATTTTATCTTTGTAAAGCACTGGTGTGGTCAACAATATTGAATACCAATATTTTATCGATTAAGGATCACATTCCATGACTAACTCTTGGCAGTTACTATTCACAATCGAATACTTCAAGTTATGTGGTTTCTTAGATTCTACCGATTTCTTTCACTCTTGTTTATTCTGTATAGTGAAATTTAAATATTTTTTCAATTATTAAGATAGACAAAAAACTGTTGAACTTATTGGTTATGCTTGAATCGTGCAGGGGAGCTATTTTTTATTACTGACAGACAAAGTGGGTACTGGAATCTCTATAAATGGGTAAATTTCGTACTTTAACATTGTTTGGACATGCTGCCTAGTTTGACAACAGATTTTCATTCCTTTTTTATTTTCTTAATCAGACAACTGTATTTGGAATTAAATAACACTATACTCAATTTTTTGTTGCTTGAACATGCTGCCTAGTCAGACAACAGTTATTTGGTGTCAATTGACATTTATTATACTATATACATTTTCTTAATTTACTTTTGCTTTATCAGGTTGAGTCTAACAATGAGGTCCTATCAGTTTATTCCTTGGATGCTGAGTTTTCTAAACCGCTATGGGTTTTTGGCATCAATTCTTATGAAGTTATTCAGAGCCATGAACAAAAAAACGTAATTGCTTGCAGCTATAGGTAAGAATTATTTGTGGTTGTTTTGCGTTAATCTTGTTTTGACTTGTAATTTGTAAAAATTATCAACTATGCAATTTAGTCTAGCTTAAGTTTGGATATTTGCATGTAGGCAGAATGGGAGGTCGTATCTTGGAATTCTGGATGATGCTCAGGGCTCACTATCTCTGCTTAGCATTCCTTTCACGGATATTGATAATATTGTACTTCTAAAAACCTTATTTTCACTAAGTTTCTGTGCTAAAGTTGTTAATTATCTGACCTGATTATAGCTTTTTAAAATTTTCATATTTGTCTACGCAGACTTTGGGGATCAATTGCCTATACGTGGAAGGAGCATCAGAAGTTGATCCGTTGTCTGTTGCTAAGGTGTTTAACATAATTTATGGCTTATCGTGAAGTACCTCTTCCTATTGTCAGGCAAAGGCTATTTTTTGGAAATTGAACCACTAGTGTCACATGTCTTCATTTTTTTTTTCTTTCTTGCAGGTGACTTTGGATGAAGATAAATCGAAAGCAGTTGATTTCAAGATTATTTGGTCTTCTTCACCTGATTGCTTAAAATACAAATCTTACTTCAGCCTACCTGAATTAATTGAATTCCCAACAGAAGTTCCTGGTCAAATTGCCTTTGCATATTTTTATCCACCATCAAATCCCAATTACCAAGCTACTCATGATGAAAAGCCTCCACTGTTATTGAATAGCCATGGTCCGTGTGATTTGAATTTTCGTAGTTATAATTCCTAAATGGTCTTGAGGCATTTAGTTTGAAATATAGTTATGCACTTTCTGTAAGGATGAAAGGCGAGTCTTTCATTTTAAAAAGGATTACACTTTATAAGTTTCAACAAGTTATTTAGATCAGGGAACAGTGGAACAGACAGTATTATATAGCAGAGTAGATCATTTCAACCGTAATTTACCTATAGTAGTAACATTAGATGTACGCTTGTGCAATGCCTTTTAGTTAGGTGCCCTTTGTAGTCAAATATGTCTGTTCTCTTCAATGTATAGTTTAGCTGTTCTTATAAACAGAATTCATTACAACTTTGTTTTTCTTTGATTTACTACAGGAGGGCCCACAGATGAATCACGTGGAATCTTAAATCTGAGTGTTCAGTACTGGACTAGTCGTGGTTGGGCATATGTTAACGTTAACTATGGTGGAAGCACTGGTTTGTTCTTAACCTTATGTTGTTTTTTCATTTTATCTTTTTGAGATCTTTTTGCTGCATATTCATGGCACTGGTAAGACAGCCCCACGTCTGTCAATCCTGAGTTTATACTATCTTTGATTACACTCTATATTTCAAACTCATTTACTATATTTGCTTATTTTTTTTACTTTTCACGTGGGTGGTTGTTGATGGAGTTAGTTTGGCCAGTAAAAGATTTGCCTTTCAAATTATATTCCTCTATATCTTAGACAATGGGTTTTAAGGTTATGGCAGGGAATATCGTGAACGGCTCTTGAAGAAATGGGGAATTGTGGATGTAGATGATTGTTGCAGTTGTGCTAAATATCTGGTATTCATTTCATCTCCCCTACCTAAATGGTCATGATTAACTTAATAGATCATCCATCAAGCCAGGGTAATGTATACTTTTTTATCTAGGTGGGTTCTGGAAAGGCAGATGGGGAGCGGCTTTGTATTACTGGGGGCTCTGCAGGTGGCTACACAACCTTAGCTGCTCTTGCTTTTAGAGACACCTTCAAGGCAGGAGCTTCCTTGTGTGGCGTGAGTGCCTAACTCTTTACTTGGTTTTATTATTAATTTTTTTTGTCTCTCTTAACCAAACCCTTGGTTTTCTATTAACTCGAGAACTGAGGGATGGGTCATATTTTTGCATTATGAAAGACTGTTGTATATGAATATTTCGGATTTGGCCTCTTCTTAGGGGAATCTCCTGTAGTCTTTGCTTTTATATGCGAACATTCTTTCTGAAGCTTGATAGAAATTCACTACTTCTCTTTTTTTCCTTTATATATTTTTTAATTTCTTCTCTTATTAACTAACATCCTTCTACATTGCACATAATTCTCAATGAACTATAAAACTGAATTTTCTTTGTTTATTTGGTCCCTGAGCAGGTAGCCGACTTAAACATGTTGAGGGCAGAAACTCACAAATTTGAATCTCATTATATTGATAATCTCGTTGGTAAGTCAGACAATGACATTGGGTGCCACCGTGCTATACTTTGTTCTTTTATTGTTATTGATATGAGGCAATTTTAACTTGTTGCAGGCAGTGAAAAGGATTACTATGATAGGTCACCAATCAACTTTGCTGATAAGTTTTCTTGCCCGATAATCTTGTTCCAAGGATTGGAAGACAAGGTAAGCAGATCTTGCCCGATAATCTTTTTCTTTTACCCTTCTATCAGCAGTCACCATGTAATAAAACGAGTCATTTGTTTAATTCAATGGTGGTTTTGGGTTTTATTTATGAGTTTATGAATACGATTTACTTTGTAGGTTGTACCCCCAGATCAAGCTCGTAAAATACACAAAGCTTTGAAGGAAAAGGGTTTGCCTGTTGCTCTTGTGGAGTACGAAGGAGAACAACATGGTTTCCGTAAGGTATTTTCTGTTTATATTTTGTATTAAGTAACAAATCGAAATGATTGGAAAGAGTAGACTGATGTTGTATTTTTACATGCACAGGCTGAGAACATCAAGTTCACGCTGGAACAGCAAATGGTTTTCTTCGCACGTTTAGTTGGACGCTTCAAGGTCGCTGATGAGATTAATCCGATAAAAATTGACAACTTCGATTAAACATTTAGTAAAGAGAGATGCCTCATGCCCGAGTCAGTCTCAGTTTTCATGCGATGAATTATGTTTTACAGGTTTGCTTCTTCAAGAGATTTTGTGCCGTCTGAGAAGCACAAACAATTTTCTAGTTTGAAGGAACTTGTAGATCTCCTATTACACCTACATGTATGCATGTTTTATGTCCAATGTGAGAAAAATGAATTTAACTATGTTTAACATGTTCTCTGGTCTATTATGCCACGTTCGATGTCAAGTTTGTCACGGTCCTTTTGCGTTGACTTGATGTACATATGACACGTGTAACTTTTAAACCTTGTGTGAAGTTTGTATCGAAGCAATTCTGTTTCCTTATGGGCTTTGATGATATGTATTCGTTTCCATTAAACATATTTCGAGAATCATGCGATGCTCTGTGCGAAGTGTTGTGATCAGTAACGCAAGGAGCGTCAAAGAATATGAGTCGGAAATTTGACTAAATAAAATATAAAATATAATGAATGGTTACACTATTAATAATACCGAGATCTTTTGTGATAAAACTTCACGCCAACTGGACTTTGTAAGTGGTTAAATTGGGGATTATACGTGTTGTTAGTAGTGAGTCGCTGACTCGTCTCTCTAAAATTTAACATGGTATTAGAGACAGGTTGATTGATTGGACTTGAATTGGGCCTCTACCCTTACCCAATATGTGGTGTTCACATGTTGGGCTTGAATGTTTACCACTATTCTTTACCCAATACATAGTTCTCATGTGTTGGGCTTGAATGATTAACTTCGATGTGAACTTGGTAAATAGTTAAATGGAATAGGGTAAGCATTGATTGATTTGCTTCGAGTTTGACTTTAATCTGCATGCCACATATGTAACATCACAGTTCAAATTATTTTAATATATACCTCAAATTAATAGTATAAACTGAATCAAATCGATTCATGTAGCGACCGATTCAGCTCCATCATTTCCTCTTATACGAAGTTAAGCAAGTAGTTAGAGAAAACATTTTACAGTTGAAGGATGTAGAAATTTAAGAATTTTAGTTTTGGTAATAAATAGTTGATATCAATGTGGGAGATGAAAGTTAACTGTAAATGTTGATAACAGATTGAAGTAATCAATATAATAGACTATTTTAAAATAGGCCAAACCTAAGTGAACCAAAATAATTGCAGTTTGATCCAAAACGCTTCTGGCATTAAAAGTCAAACGAAACAGGCAAATCACCTCTGGGCTTAAAACTAACGAGATCTCGGGCCATAGAAGTGATTTTAGGGCTCATAAGAGGCTCGACGGTTTTCATACCCGGGCCATAGTACCGTTTGAAGCCCAAACCTTGAAAGCCCGCGGTTTCCCGCCCATTCCAAAACGTCCAAACGGTGTTTTTGTGCACATGCTTAAAAAACGGTTTTTTTCTGAGATGCGATTTCCTGGAACACACGGTCTTATTTTAAAAATATAAAAACGCAGATTGGGGAGAGTCAATATGGCCCTCTCAATCTCTTCCATAGCTACTCTCACTCTCACTCGCTTCTCGTCTTCTTCCTTCAATCGTATTAGTAAACGCTTCAGCTCCCGAGCCCCAACTAACACCCACAACCGCCCGCCAATGTCGTCTTCTTCCCCCGGAGCCCAAACAAAGAAAAAAAACTCTCCGCCCCTGCGGGCCCCAGAAACCCCAAACCCCCCGCCGATGTCGTCTCCGGTGCCTCCAAGCGACTCGGCGGTACCGCCATCGATTCCCTCGGCCGCCTCATCTGGCTCGAGTCTCGTCCCTCTGAATCAGGGTATCTATCTATACTTTTGTAATTTTTCATGGATTTATTTGTATTTTGACCAACGAGGAACTGTTTGGTGTATGCATAGACGAGCGGTTCTGGTGAGAGAACCGGATAGACCGGAGGGTGAACCGGTTGATATTACGCCCAAGGACTATGCGGTTCGGACTCTGGCTCAGGAGTACGGAGGTGGCGCCTTCAGTGTTTCTGGCGATACACTCATTTTCTCCAATTACAAGGATCAACGCCTTTACAAGCAGTCCCTGAGTCCCAATGGTATATGATGTTTTCCATATCATTGTTTATATACTCTTGTTTTTTTCCGAATTCTCAAGCAAAATTATATTAATGTTTAATTAGGAAGATGATGACTTGTGTTAATATTGGTGCATCCAGATTCTTCACCTGTGCCACTCACTCCAGATTATGGTGGCCCAGTTGTTAGTTATGCCGATGGGGTGTTTGATGCACGGTTTAACCGGTTTGTCACTGTCCAGGAAGGTATGTGGATGTGGATGTGGATGTGGCGCATTAGTATAAGCATGTTCTTCTGCTTTTCGTTTCTACATAGTCAGTAAGGCATTTATGTGTCAATCCCATTTCTCATTTTGTGTAGATCGTCGTCAAAGCAGTACTAATTCGACAACAACAATTGTAACAGTAGGGCTAGATGGCAAGAACATTCGGGGTAAGAGGTTGTCAAAAACCCATGTCTTGCTTCATTTTCCTATGCCATAGTATATGTGTAACACTAAAAGTATTGCAGTACATCTGATATTATTTAACTAATGCGGGTATCATGTAACATCCAGAACCAGAAGTACTAATAGGCGGAACTGATTTCTATGCTTTCCCGCGTTTGGATCCCAAAGGTGAACGACTGGCATGGATTGAATGGTGCCATCCTAACATGCCATGGGACCAGGCTCAACTTTGGGTTGGGTATATATCCGACAGCGGGTAAGCAAATCATTTTTCAGGATTCATTCTCTTCTTCAGTTCCAAAATTTATCTTTACAAGAAACATTAGGTCACCACTGAAGACACTAATATTTCAAAGTATGGCTTGTAATATGCACACTTCGTGCATTCTTTGAGTTCTATTCACATATGATGTAGTTATATTTACTCAATACTGTAATAAAGGTGCATATAAGAATAACATCTTTTACATAGCTTTTTTGTCCTTCAGTAACTCTGTTCTTCTTCTTGCTGTTGTCCTACTCTATGGTCACTTGGTTTAATAATAAATCCATATCCATTATTGGAGGTTCATTTTTTAAATTCTGAACGGATTTGTATCTGCTCCATGCAGAGAAGTCCATAAACGAATCTGTGTTGCTGGCTCTGATCCTACAATTAAGGAGTCTCCAATTGAACCCAAGTGGTCCTCTAAAGGTACCCTTTTTATATTATTGGTTGATGAACATATTTAACATATTTAACTTTGGAATGTATTATTAAAGGCTCATGCTAACAAGGTATAATGTACTGAACTTACTACAAGTATTGGGTACATCTATTAGCAGGGAAAACCTATATGTGCATCCTTGGCTAAAAGGGGAACTTATTTTATCTTTGTAAAGCACTGGTGGGTTCAACAATATTGAATACCAATATTTTATCGATTAAGGATCACATTCCATGACTAACTCTTGGCAGTAACTATTCACAATCGAACGCTTCAAGTTTGTGGTTTCTTAGATTCTACCGATTTCTTTCACTCTTGCTTATTCTGTATAGTGAAATTTATATATTTTTCAATTATTAAGATTGGCAAAAAAATGTTGAACTTATTGGTTATGCTTGAATCATGCAGGGGAGCTATTTTTTATTACTGACAGACAAAGTGGGTACTGGAATCTCTATAAATGGGTAAATTTCGTACTTTAACATTTCTGTCTGGCTTATTTATTGCAAATAATAAGAACAATATACTTCATTTAACATTGTTTGGACATGCTGCCTAGTTTGACAACAAATTTTCCTTCTTTTTTTATTTTCTTAATCGGACAACTGTATTTGGAATCGAATAACACTATACTCAATTTTTTGTTGCTTGAACATGCTGCCTAGTCAGACAACAATTATTTGGCGTCAATTGACATTTATTATAATATATACATTTTCTTAATTCACTTATCAACAGGTTGAGTCTAACAATGAGGTCCTATCAGTTTATTCCTTGGATGCTGAGTTTTCTAAACCGCTATGGGTTTTTGGCATCAACTCTTATGAATTTATTCAGAGCCATGAACAAAAAAACGTAATTGCTTGCAGCTATAGGTAAGAATTATTTGTGGTTGTTTTGCGTTAATCTTGTTTTGACTAGTAATTTGTAAATATTATCAACTATGCAATTTAGTCTTGCTAAAGTTTGGATGTTTGCATGTAGGCAAAATGGGAGGTCGTATCTTGGAATTCTGGATGATGCTCAGGGCTCACTATATCTGCTTAGCATTCCTTTCACGGATATTGATAATATTGTACTTCTAAAAACCTTATTTTCACTAAGTTTCTGTGCTAAAGTTGTTAATTATCTGACCTGATTATAGCTTTTTAAAATTTTCATATTTGTCTACGCAGACTTTGGGGATCAATTGCCTATATGTGGAAGGAGCATCAGAAGTTGATCCGTTGTCTGTTGCTAAGGTTTTTAACATATTTTATGGCTTATCGTTAAGTACATCTTCCTATTGTCAGGCAAAGGCTATTTTTTGGAAATTGAACCACTAGTGTCACATGTTTCCATTTTTTTTTCTTTCTTGCAGGTGACTTTGGATGAAGATAAATCAAAAGCGGTTGATTTCAAGATTATTTGGTCTTCTTCACCTGATTGCTTAAAATACAAGTCTTACTTCAGCCTACCTGAATTAATTGAATTCCCAACAGAAGTTCCTGGTCAAATTGCCTTTGCATACTTTTATCCACCATCAAATCCCAATTACCAAGCTACTCATGATGAAAAGCCTCCGCTGTTATTGAAAAGCCATGGTACGTGTGATTTGAATTTTCGTAGTTATAATTCCTAAATGGTCTTGAGGCATTTAGTTTGAAATATAGTTATGCACTTTCTGTAAGGATGACAGGTGAGTCTTTCATTTTAAAAAGGATTACACTTTATAAGTTTCAACAAGTTATTTAGATCAGGGAACAATGGAACATACAGTATTATATAGCAGAGTAGATCATTTCAACCGTAATTTACCTATAGTAGTAACATTAGAAGTACGCTTGTGCAATGCCTTTTAGTTAGGTGCCCTTTGTCTGTTCTCTTCAATGTATAGTTTAGCTGTTCTTATAAACAGAATTCATTACAACTTTGTTTTTCTTTGATTTACTACAGGAGGGCCCACAGCTGAATCACGTGGAATCTTAAATCTGAGTGTTCAGTACTGGACTAGTCGTGGTTGGGCATTTGTCGACGTTAACTATGGTGGAAGCACTGGTTTGTTCTTAACCTTATGTTGTTTTTTTATTTTATCTTTATGAGATCTTTTTGCTGCATATTCATGGCACTAGTAAGACAGCCCCTCGTCTGTCAATCCTGAGTTTATGCTATCTTTGATTACACTCTATATTTCAAACTCATTTACTATATTTGCTTATTTTTGTTGTTGATGGAGTTAGTTTGGCTAGTAAAAGATTTACCTTTCAAATTATATTCCTCTATATCTTAGACAATGGGTTTTAAGGTTATGGCAGGGAATATCGTGAACGGCTCTTGAAGAAATGGGGAATTGTGGATGTAGATGATTGTTGCAGTTGTGCTAAATATCTGGTATTCATTTCATCTCCCCTACCTAAATGGTCCTGATTAACTTAATAGATCATCCATCAAGCCAGGGTACTATATCCTTTTTTATCTAGGTGGGTTCTGGAAAGGCAGATGGGGAGCGGCTTTGTATTACTGGGGGCTCTGCAGGTGGCTACACAACCTTAGCTGCTCTTGCTTTTAGAGACACCTTCAAGGCAGGAGCTTCCTTGTATGGCGTGAGTGCCTAACTCTTTACTTAGTTTTTTTATTAATTTTTTTTGTCTCTCTTAACCAATCCCTTGGTTTTCTATTAACTAGAGAACTGAGGGATGGGTCTTATTTTTGCATTATGAAAGACTATGTTGCGTATGAATATTTCGGATTTGGCCTCTTGTTCAAGGAATCTCCTGTATTCTTTGCTTTTATATGCGAACATTCTTTCTGAAGCTTGATAGAAATTCACTATATATTTATTTTTTTCCTATATATATTTGTTAATTTCTTCTCTTATTAACTAATATCCTTCTACATTGCACATAATTCTCTATGAACTATAAAACTGAATTTTCTTTGTTTATTTGGTCCCTGAGCAGGTAGCCGACTTAAACATGTTGAGGGCAGAAACTCACAAATTTGAATCTCATTATATTGATAATCTCGTTGGTAAGTCAGACGATGACATTGGGTGCCACCGTGCTATACTTTGTTCTTTTATTGTTATTGATATGAGGCAATTTTAACTGGTTGCAGGCAGTGAAAAGGATTACTATGATAGGTCACCAATCAACTTTGCTGATAAGTTTTCTTGCCCGATAATCTTGTTCCAAGGATTGGAAGACAAGGTAAGCAGATCTTGCCCGATAATCTTTTTCTTTTACCCTTCTATCAGCAGTCACCATGTAATAAAACGAGTCATTTGTTTAATTCAATGGTGGTATTTTTGGGTTTTATTTATGAGTTTATGAATACGATTTACTTTGCAGGTTGTACCCCCAGATCAAGCTCGTAAAATATACAAAGCTTTGAAGGAAAAGGGTTTGCCTGTTGCTCTTGTGGAGTACGAAGGAGAACAACATGGTTTCCGTAAGGTATTTTCTGTTTATATTTTCCATGTTGATGTATTAAGTAACAAATTGCAATGATTGGAAAGAGTAGACTGATGCTGTATTTTTACATGCACAGGCTGAGAACATCAAGTTCACGTTGGAACAGCAAATGGTTTTCTTTGCACGTTTAGTTGGACGCTTCAAGGTCGCTGATGAGATTAATCCGATAAAAATTGACAACTTCGATTAAACATTTAGTAAAGAGAGATGCCTCGTGAATCATGCCCGAGTCTCAGTCTCAGTTTTCATACGATGAATTAGGTTTGACAGGTTTGCTTCTTCAAGAGATTTTTGTGCCGTCTGAGAAGCACAAACAATTTTCTAGTTTGAAGGAACTTGTAGATCTCCTATTACACCTACATGTATGCATGTGTTATGTCCAACGTGAGAAATATGAATTTAACTATGTTTAACATGTTCTCTGGTCTATTATGCCACGTTCGATGTCAAGTTTGTTACGGTCTTTTTGCGTTGACTTGATGTACATATGACACGTGTAACTTTTAAACCTGTGTGAAGTTTGTATCGAAGCAATGTTTCCTTATGGGCTTTGATGATACGTATTCGTTTCCACTAACATATTTCGAGAATCATGCGATGCTATGTGCGAAGTGTTGTGATCAGTAACGTAAGGGTGTTGAAGAATATGAGTCTCATATAGGAAATTTGACTAAATAAAATACAAAATATAATGAATGGTTACATTATTAATAATATCGATGTCTTTTGTGATAAAACCTAACATCTATTGGACTTTATAAGTGGTTAAGTTGTGGATAATATTGGTGTTGTTAGTAGTGGGCCGTTGGCTCATCTCTCTAAAATTTAACATGGTATCAGAGCCAAGTTGATTGATTGGACCTAAATTGGGCCTTTACTCTTACTCAATATATGGTGTTCATATGTTAAACTTGAATGTTTACCCTTATTCTTTACTCAATACGTGGTGCTCACGTGTTGGGCTTGAATGATTGATTTCGATGTGAACTTGGCTCCACATGTAGCCCACTATATGGTGGTTCTACATGAGGGGGCATGTTGAAGAATATGAATCCCACATAAAAAACTTGACTAAATAAAATACAAAATATAATGAATAGTTACACTACTAATAACATATTTCATCAATGGCAGAATGGAAGCCCAAAATGTCTTTGGATGGTATGTATAAAATGTTGCTTCCTCGTTCGGTGGCTTGGCAGGGACTAGGTTATAATTGAGTTATTAGTTGCACACCACACAAAATTTTGTGCAATTTTATATGTCTAATTTCAGAATTTATTCACCAGAAACAAAAACATGAGTCTCATGGGATGGTGAGTCTCGTCTCCATCTGCAACTTTTCTATTTAGTATAAGTTATAGTATAAACTACGAAGGGAAGAAGCGTTTCTCAAACATCCTATTAATATTAAGGTGCAATGAGAGTTTGAATATGAGACCACTAGTTTACAAATCAATGCTTTTTTTATCGAATTAGTTCCGATTGCGTCTTATTTTATATTTTCTTTTCGTGTCTCCATCTCCCCTGCAACTGATAAAAAAAATTGCCGTTTTTCACTGAAATAAACCCCTATTGACCGGTAATTTCATAAAAATAAAATAAAAATTGGTGGAAGGTAATTTCATAATTAAGTAATGAACAAATGGACATTTGGACAATAGAAAAGGGAACAATGGACATTTGGACAATATGAAAAGGGAACAATGTGGCAGTAAAGATGAGGTGGCGACTGTCGAATGGAGAGGGAGTGAGGTGGCGAGTGTTTCTGAGAAGATGATGAGTCAAATGGCTTTCTTCCTCGGTCCTCCTCCCCCTCATCATCACACAGACATATACGTCCTCCTCAACTTCAACATATCACTAAGTAAACCATGGAATTTGATCATCGCCAGCAGCCAGAGTGAGTCTCCCTTCCAACTAAAATGCAGGACCTCAAGCCAACGGCTACTACTCCTTTGGAAGTTAAGCAAATCACAGCTCCCTATGGCTCCTGGAAATCTCCCTTCACCACCGACGTCGTCTCCGCCGCCTCCAAGCTACTCGCTGGCACCGCCGTCGATTCCCTCGGCCGCCTCCTCTGCCTCGAGTCTCTCCCCAGTGAATCCGGGTACGTCTGTTTTCTAGCTCTACATTAATTGAAATTTGAGTCCTTCATGCTCATTGTCATTGGTCATGGTCATGAGGATATTTATTTATTTATTTACGGACTAATGGTGGTGGTGAGAGAACCGGAGAGGGCAGGGGAGGGACCCGTTGATATTACCCCCAAGGGAGTATGCGGTGCGCACAATGGCTCAGTGCTCCGAAAGTGGCGGTGCCTTCAGAGTTTCAGCGGATACAGATACACTAGTTTTCTCCAATTACAGCGACCAACGCCTTTACAAGCAGTCCTTAACTTCTTCCACTATTGGTGGTTGGTACAAATATATATACTATTATACATGAAATGCTTATTTGAAATTAAGCTGCTATATTTATTTAATTCAGGCTCACTCTAACAGTTCCTTCAGTCTGCCACTCTCTCTTTCTTATATCTGCTATTTATTGCGGAAGGGCCCCAAGCGGACCGTACCGGGCCTCTCGAACGAACCTTCCGGTCGGGTCTTATGTTGTGAAATGCCTGTCTTTACCAGATTCTTCTCCTACACCACTCACTCCGGATTATGGTGGACCAATTGTGAGTTATGCTGATGGGGTGTTTGATGCCCGCTTTAATCGTTATATAACTCTGCGGGAAGGCATTTCATCCCTCCATTTTTACTACTATAAAGCCATTTATGTATATGTCAAATGTCAATCCAATCTCTCTCTGTTGTGCATGTGTAGATGCTCGTCAAAGCACCACTGATCCCATCACAACAATCGTGGCAGTAGAGCTTGACAGCACGGATATTCGGGGTAAATTTATTAAGAGTTTGTCAAAACTAAACCCATGTCCCTATAACATTGATGTACCGAGGACTGATGTGTATTGCGTAATGTGGGTGGCACCATGTGGCATCCAGAATCAGAAGTACTAGTAGGTGGAAGCGACTTCTATGCCTTCCCTCGTCTGGACTGCAAAGGTGAACGATTGGCATGGATTGAGTGGTCTCATCCCGACATGCCATGGGATAAAGCTCAACTCTGGGTTGGCTACATATCTGAGATAGGGTAAGCTAATTTCTTCTCGGGATGATATAGCGCTTCTTTCTGCGATGATACATGCTTTTGCTAGCAGGGTTAATTAATCGTCTTGGTTCTTTCATACAGAGAAGTCTACAAACGTATCTGTGTTGCTGGCTGTGATCCTGCAATCAAAGAGTCTCCAACTGAACCCAAGTGGTCATCTAAAGGTATTTTTTTATTAATTTACTTGGTTGAGGAGCAAATTTCAACTTGAAATGTCATTATTCAAATAGAGTGGTGATTTCCCCACTCCTTTTTCTCCTATTTTATCCACTTACACTCTTTTTTTAAAACTAAAAAAGGAGTGTAAGTGGATAAAATAGGAGTGGGGAAATCATTGCCCTTAAAATATCATACTTGATAGATACTTGACTGAACTTCATTGAGTACAAGTATCCATTGCATCTCTGTTGCGGATAAATATACATCCTTAAGAAAAAGGGAACTCCTTTCATGTTTGGAAAGTACTGGTGGGATCAACAATCTTATTGTGCATACAATCGCTTCAAGATAAGAGTTCCTTGACTAATTATTGGCTTTTACTGCTCAAATAGAATACCTCAAGGTATCTGCTTTTGTTAATTTCATATTGTGGGAGTCACATTTTACAAGTTCAATAGTTGCTATTACTCTATCCAAGAAAATTTTGGACTTTCATTTGCTTCATGCTATGCTTTAATTGGTTATGCTTGAGTGGTGCAGGGGAACTATTTTTTATTACTGACAGACAAAATGGGTATTGGAATCTGTATAAATGGGTAATTTTCTTACTTTAACATTTCTGTTTGCCTTGATCTATATACTGAAATTTTATGATACTTAAACATTTTGTGTAGTTGAACAACAGTTATTTGGTGCTAATTGGCATTCATCATTTTATATGTCTTCCTAATTCAGATTTTCTTTGACGACAGGTTGAGTCTAATAATGAGGTGATATCTGTTTATTCTTGGGATGCCGAGTTCTCCAGACCATTATGGAATTTTGGAATGAATTCTTATGAACTTATTCAGAGCCATGAGCAAAATATCTTAATTGCTTGCAGCTATAGGTAGGAAAGTTAGGTTTGGCTGTATTGTGTTTATCTTGTACTTGGAAATGATTATTGTCTATCTGCTTTAGTCAAGAAATGAGTTTTGGATGTTTACATGTAGGCAAAATGGAAGGTCATATCTTGGAAATCTGGATGATGTTCAGAGCTCATTCTCTGTGCTTAATATTCCTTTCACGGATACAGATAATATTGTACTTCCAAAAATCTTATGCTCATTAAGTTTATGTGCTAAAGCCGTTAAGTATTTGACTGGCCTATACATTTCAAAACTTGCATATTTGTCTATGCAGACTTTAGGGATCAATTACCTATACGTGGAGGGAGCATCAGAAGTTCATCCACTGTCTGTAGCGAAGGTGTTTTGTGATCTTTGATGTCCCATTTTACAATACCTCTTTCTGTTGCAGCATATAATGGTGAAGGCTATTGTTGTGAATTAGGCCACTTCTGTTTCGTATCTTTAAACCTTTCTCTTTTGGTGTAGGTGACTTTAGATGACCATAAATAAAAAGCAGTTGCATTCAAGATTATTTGGTCTTCTTCACCTGATTGTTTAAAATACAAGTCCTACTTCAGCTTACCCGAAGTTATTCGATTCCCAACAGACTGCCTTTGCATACTTTTACACACCATCAAATCCTGATTACCAAGCCACTCAGGAAGAAAAGCCTCCACTGTTATTGCAAGCCCATGGTATGCTATGATTTAAAAGTTTCCTAGTTATAATTCCTAATTTTTCCATATTGGGGCATTTCTTTTGCAAATGTTGTTCTGCAATTCCTGGGATGATGCAGGTGAGCCTTTCAGAGCTAGAGGACAATATTATCTACTTGTTGCAATGAAAAGATACTTCATTCAGGGAATATAGGATAATTTATTGCGAAGGAGACTATTTCCCACCTACATTATCTACATTAAGCATGCTTATTCAATGCCTTTTCATTACGTGCCCTTGTTGGAGTTATCCCTTCTCTCAAACGAATGGTACTATAGTGTAGCTGTTTTTGTCAATTTATTTGTTATAGCATTGTTCTTCTTTGATTTACTGCAGAAGGACCCACATTTGAATCGCGCGGAATCTTAAATCTGAGTATTCAGTACTGGACTAGTCGGGGTTGGGCATTTGTTGCTGTTAACTATGGTGGAAGCAGTGGTTTGCTTTTAACCTTATATTGTAGTTTATGCTTGTTATTTCATTTTCATGGGATCTCTTTATTGCACAATGATGGTTCTGGAGTCCTTTGATCCTGAGTTTATGAATCCTCTTATTACTGTCAACATTTCAATCTTTTTGTTCTTTTCAAATTATATTCCATCATATCTTAGACAATGGGTTTTAAGGTTATGACAGAGAATATCGTGAAAGGCTCTTGAGGAAATGGGGAATTGTGGATGTAAATGACTGTTGCAGCTGTGCTAGATATTTGGTATTCATTTTATCCTAGACGTTGATGAATTTGGTAGAGCACCCATCAAGCCATGGTAATATATATTTTGTTATCTAGGTGGATTCTGGGAAGGTAGATGGCAAACGGCTGTGTATTACTGGGGACTCTGCAGGTAGTTATACAACCCTGGCTGCTCTTGCTTTTAGAGACACCTTTAAGGCAGGAGCTTCCTTGTATGGTGTGAGTGTCTAACTCTATACTAGGTTTACCATTCATTTCTTGTGGACAGTGATATCAGAAGAAACCAGTGGTTATATTATTGCATCGTGTAAAATTATGTTGCCGAATAATCTTTCTGACTAGGCCTCTGCTGCGGTGAAAGTTCTGTACTCTTCCCTTTATATACTAACTTTGCTTCTTGAAGCTTGATGACACATTAATACTCTAATTCCGTTTCTTTTTTCCTTTTTATATCATTAACTGATATCCTTTTACATAACATGGTATGCTCTATGAACTAGAGAACTGACAATTTTTTTGGGTCATATTGGTCCATGAACAGATAGCTGACTTGACAATGTTGAGGGCAGAAACTCAAAAATTTGAGTCTCACTATATTGATAATCTTGTTGGTAAGTCAGAAGATGACATTTGAGGCTTTACTTTATTGATGCCATGAAGTTGAAGCAAACTTAATTGGTTGCAGGTGGTGAAAAGGATTACTTTGAAAGGTCGCCAATCAACTTCATTGATAGAATTTCTTGCCCCATTATCTTATTTCAAGGATTGGAAGACAAGGTAAGAAAATTGCAGCATTTTCTTTTCTTTGTCATACTTCTTTTAATCCTCCTCTTTCACCATGTGATAACTAAAGATGATAATTTCGGCACAGAGGAGATGAGATAAAATTATGGTATCTGTGGTTTCATGAACTTAAAGACTGAGTTTGGAAAGTACATTATGTTTTGTAGTCTGTACCCCCAGTACAAGCTCCTACAATATACCTTGCTTTAAAGGATAAGGGTCTGCCTGTTGCTCTTGTGGAGTACGAAGGAGAACAACATGGTTTCTGCAAGGTATTTTCAATGTTACGTTGTACGTACTCACAAAAGTTTAATGATTGGATACAACAAACTGATATAGTATTGTACACAGGCTGAGAACATTAAGTTCACGCTGGAGCAACAAATGGTTTTCTTTGCACGGTTAGTTGGACACTTCAAGGTTGCAGATGACATTACCCCAATCAAAATTGATAACTTCAATTAAGCATTCACTAAAAGAGGTGCCACATTCTGAAATTCTCCTGTGTGTACTTTTGTTATTTGTATGAGGCAATACGTTTGCAGGTTTTGACTTGTTATTTGGTTTCCGCTCAATCTGACCAAGAACAATTTGCTAGTTTTAAGGAATTTGTGGATCTATTATGGATGACAAAAATGAAATGAGCATGAACTGATTCACGGCTTGTTCTGGAAAACTGACATGACTTACTATCTTCTTCTTTTTTCAAACTGGAAATGACTTACGATCTTTACATGCTCTCTGTTCTATTATTATGTCACATTTAATCTCAAGGTTTCGGTTCAAATTAGGGTAAATTATGAGTTGTAGTTTAATTATATGTATATGTGGTTGTAGAATCTTAAAGCTAACTTCTATAAACTGCTTTGACATCCCACCTTGGTATTGCAAATTGCAGTGCTTCCCCTCTAGAAGTTGACAATATGTTTTGCCTACCACCCGTTATATTCTGTTTAGCAACCCCATAGGAAAAACATTAAAAATTGTAGAAGAATAAACGAGTCTAGTGTTTCGTCCCATTCTAGCTACAATAAAAAATGAGTCTAGTGGTTCATCTCTATCCATAATCAATCTAGTAGTTCCGCCCATGTTTTATAGAACTTTTATTTTTCCATTCTCCGGAAAAAAAAAAATTAAAAAAAGACAGTTGTCCTATCATGACGTATTGACTTTCTAGATTGATGAATTAGGATAATCAAATAAGAAGTCAATCTAACAAAAATTGAATTTCGTGTTCTATGTTTCATACCGTTGTTTTTCTTATCTGGTGTCACCAAATACATGCATGTCAGAGAGAGCTTTGCTAGCTAGTATTGGTTCACACATCTAGGAAATTGTCAGCCCTTGATGGTTGGTCTTATACTGTGAGACCCACTTTATCCAACGGTCCAGAATCATTCAGGTGTTCTCGGTCTTTTGCCTAACGGACTGATTGTGCTAGAAGTCAAATTTTTTTATTTATTTAATTATATTTGATTTTCTTGCCAATTACCTTGGTGACATAGCTCTTCCTTCCCTGAGGTGGAGGTCTTTTGAGTTCATCTTCTGAGGAAATCATTGACTATAGGGTATTAAATAGATGTGGTTGTGATTTAGGGTTCTATAGCCAACCAAAAAAAGTGTTTGATTTGAGATCGCTAACAAAATTGATGGTGCAGCAGACAGATAACATAGAGAAAATTGCATATATAAGATTTGATAAATATGTGCTTCTGTCTTCCAGTATGTATATTTATATATTCTTCCAATTACAAACTTTGATATAAAACAAAGGAAGAAGGAAAGAATGTGTATGCAGTAATGGGGGCAATAATCATGCTTGATTTTTGTGTTTTTAACTGCAAACCATCAACCACAATCCTCTTACGTATGTATTCTACACTGCTAAAAACAAATAAATAGGCAACTTTACAGCAGAAAAAAATTGATGAAAAACAGCAAATTTTCTCATAAATTAACAAAAAATCTGTGGCAGATTCAGGACCGTGAAAGAGACCCAAAGCCATTGGCAAGTGCACTGACAGCAGGATTGAAGGCCAATCGACCCAAAATGCCCTGCTTGTAAGGCAAGAAGGTCTTCTTCTTCATATCATTAGACACTGCTTTGTTCATAGTGTAATGCAACTCATGAGCTGAAACTGGCCCTCTTCTTCTTGAGTTCGTGGCCGCCGGGCTGTCTATGGACCTGAAGCTGGAGTTCTTGACATCTTCGTTTTTCTTGAACAGATTTGAGTACTTTCGGAATGGATCTTTATCTGTTGCTCTTCCTTCTGATGCGCTTCGAAACAGCAGAAAGTCTCTCAGTTTCCATTTCTTTGAAGCCTTTGAAGCTGAAGCAGCAGCAGAGGGAGAAAACATGGCTTTTGGAGCTAACTGTCTGTTGTTTTGTTGTTGCTGCTGTTGCTGTTGTTTTTCTTCTTCTTCCCATTGATACTCCGAAACCCTCAAAGGAGACAGGGACCTTGTTGCTCTATGGCCCGAAACAGAGGATGACAAGGCTGCAGGAGTTCTGTCTCTTCCTCTTTGGTGCTGATCACTTCTCTTTGTGGTGTTGTCCATTTCGGTCGTGGACAACGACCCAAGTGGATGGTCTTTACCCTTTTTCCATCTAGGCGAAAGAACTTGACGGAAAAAGGATGGAGTTCTGGGGGTGTTAGTTGCAAGAGGAGGCTTAAAGGGTCGGATAACGCCGCCATCGAAAAGCTCTTCAGCTGAGAGAGAAGTTCTTTCCACCTCCTCACTAACATCAAATGCGAAGTCCTCAAAGCCAAACTCATCCTTAGGCGATTTGGGAGATTTTGGTGTGGCTCCTTCATGAGTTGGTGGCTCATTATCTTCCCAATTGCTGTTGGAGAACTCTTCAAACTCCCTGTAAAAGTCAGACATCCTAGTTGGGCTTGTTGGTGCACTCATGTAGAACTCCCCGAACCGCCTTGGCGTCGTAGGAGCCGTCACACATGGCGAAGATCGGGCGCTATTGAAGTCGAAATCCATGGCTGTTCTGGTTGGTATCACCACCTCCATGATTGCTTGCTTCTTGTGTTGAGAGAGTTTGGTTTTTGAGAGGGACAAAGACAATGACAAAGGCGAACAATAATATATATATATAGAGGGCAAGTAGAGGAAGGAACATAGAAATGAGAAAGGTCGAGATTGTTGACCATGACCATCAAAGGTAGAGATTAGGAGCCGCCTTTAAATACTTTGTAACAAACCATGGTGGTTTTTCTATTATTACTTGAGCTACAAAACACTAATAAAACCTCACATGCCAAAGCCATCATCATTCCTTTGTTTTTTGTTTTTTTACGGTACGAATTTTCCTTGAAGTGGACCCTTTTCGAGGTCGACGTGGACATATATTATCTCATTTCTTTTCGTTCTGGACACACTTTTGACCTCATTTATCTATGATAAATAAATAACTCTCACATAAATTAGCGTCTATGATGGTGGGATAAAACAAACAAATATAGAAAGGTAGAAGAGTAATCATGGCGCAATGGAAGGCATCACTGATTCACCTGTGAGCCTTTTCCTCCAAGCTTAATTGGTTTGACCACAAAGCATGCAGTCAACGTAGTCGATTGCCTCACCTGAAATGTGGGATTAATTATAACTATAAGTTTGGTATGTGCTTGTAAAGCCCAACCAAAACCATGAGAATAAATGATGCGAATATATAAAAAATGTCTTGACATAGGGAACATGACTTGGATTGCTTCAGAAATATGGTAAAACATGTGAAGTTTTATTGGAGTTTATTTATTTATTTACAGAATACCAGTTGGGTTGGCCTCGGAGATGATGAAGAAGTAAAATTTAAGGGAAAATAAAGTTAATACGTAAATCAATTAACCTGATGATGATTACCCATTATTTAGGATACAATATTTTGTTGATGTATTGTAAATTAATCCATCTATTTTAATACTCATTTACTGATGACCGATACCGAGAAACTAATCTCGCCTAATTAATTGTTTTATTTAAAAAAAAATGCCCATCTACCTGAAGATCTGTCCAAGTTGAATTAATTCAAGATTTGTTTAATGGCTGATAAACGTGCCTAAAATCAAATGACTTCTAGAATTTAAAATTGAACATTACATGTGAGAGTCTAAGACTGATGTTGTTGGGTGCACCTACATCTGGCCTTTTTGGGTCCCAAAAATATCTAAATGCTGACAAATTTAGCCGAACAATCTCAAACCAGAGCCCCTTTTTTTGATTTTTGGATGCAAAAAAAAACAGAGTTGGTAGGGAACAATCTTATCACATTTTACAGCTGTCTACAATAACATCTTCCTCACACAATTTTTGTCCCTGACCATAATTTCTCCAAGCTTTATACAGAAATTATTATTATTTTTTATTTTCTTGTTGCTTTTAATGTCGCATTATCCATGAAATTCACATTTTTTACAGTGCCAACACATACATATATATATATATATATACAGGGAGGGCTTGGAGAGATGCAACACACCACATGGGGTTGGAGGATGCAGACGAACAATTTAGTCTTAAGGCAGCATGAATAATGCCATATTCATTCGTTGGTGCACGTTTTGAGCTCACCACATACATATTTTGATAGGGACAAGTATTTGCCGTCCAAAACTCCCTCTTTTAGTTTTTAAAATTAATTTGGTTGGATTGATGTGTCTATTTGTGGATGGTAGAGACAATAATGTCTACTAGGGTAGTATATATTTTATTGTCAAAAGATTTGTATTGTGGGACATATTTATGTTGTCAAATCAAGAATTCGGATTACAGGTTCTCTAAATCTGTAATCCGTAGAATATGGAAAGAGAATATTTGTAAATTCCTATTTTTTAATGAATAATACTAGTCTTACTACATTTTTATACCACAATTTCATATCACATGATATAGCAGCTGATGTGTACATACCACATCATATAAATTAATAGTTTCTGTTTTTCTAATTTTATTTATTAAAATACACTTTATTTATTTAATTGATATGACATATGATATGAACATGTCACATCATGTGGTATAGAAATGTGGTAAGTGTAGCATTACTCTTTTTTAATATACTGGTGATAGGAGATGGGGGACTCTCGAACTTAGGATTTCTGATACAAAAATAAATGCTCTTAATCAATTCAACTATAAATTCCTTATAAAATGAAAACATTGGGAGCTCTTGCATTGTTTTTTATTCCTTTTCTAAATTCCTATACATACGTGGTTGATATCATTTTCTTAGGTAGGTCACAAGTGAACAACCACGTAAAATGAAAACCAGTGGGAGCTCTTCTATTGTCTTTTATGAATGAGAAAAGTTAGCTGCCTCCTTCTTTTTGTTTAATCTAAATGGGTATTTTGAAAAATCTATTCCTAAAACAAATGAGAGTTAAGAAAAAAGACCATCTAGAAGTGAAGACAGCTCATGGAGTTGAATTTCTTGGCTGATCAAAGTAATAACAAAATGTGGTTGATACACACATGACTGCACATCTATATATACATACTTAATTCAAAACAAGCCGTATTCGTACGTGTGTCTGCAATTTTTTTTTTAATATTTATAAATAAAGAAAAAAAAAAAAAAAGGCTCGCCTCATGACAAGCACACATTGACAGTTGACACAACACATAAAATAAACATGCCCCTTTCTAGTTTCATGTCCAAGCATATGGAAATAACTTCGCTACGCGTGATGCACTTTTGTGTTTGTCTATCGCTTCATCTCGAATAAATCACATATATATAAAGATATAGAAATATGAATATAGTGTATATTTATGAGAAGAATGTTTCTTTCATGACAAGGAAGTTTCTCTCGTGACAAATAACTAACTTTGATCGAAAAAAAAAAAAGAAAAAAAAAAGAGGTACATGCAGAACCCGTGTGTTTGTAAGCCTACAGATTTAAAATCAACGACTGCTGGTTTTGGTTTGAGCAAAGCTAATTAAACATAGAAGATGGTGAGGTTCCACCAGTTGTTTTGTCCAGACACATCTAAAAACGACTTTGAAATGTGATCAGTTTGGCTTGTTGTGGAGGGAGGGCTTTTCATTTTTCGAATCAGGGTATTATCCAAAAAATGAAATAAAATAATACAGATGATTAAATTGGTTGGATTATTTCACTCATTCATTAATTAAATCAAATTGTCTTTTCAAATGATGCAACGACCATTTTGGCATCTTCTAATCTATACTCCCATATTAGACAACAGCCTTATACTTCGACACATCTCTCAACTCCTTACGTGTGAAACGTGCTGCATATCGTTGGATTCGTTTTCCTTTTCTTCTTTCTCTTTTACCTCGTTTTCAACGGTTTGGATTATTTTATCATATATTTTGATCATGACAATGTCAATCCCGAAAAAACTTTAAGGTTTGGGTTGGGAGTTGGGTATAATCATAATCTTCAGCCAATCCATGTTCTAAAAGGTCTTCACCATAATTTGAAATATTGATAATATTGACGAAATATCGAGAATATTTCGATTTTTCAAATGACGGATATTTTGGAATATATTTATGTACATATCGTATAAATATTAACGATAATTTCGCTCCCACTTCAGCAATATGTCAACATATCGGTGTAATATCGTTAAAATATCGAAAATATCGATGTAAAGGAAAAAAAAAAGGAAAAAGAAGAAGAAAAAAAAAAGGAAAAAAGGGAGGGAAAAAAAATACAAAGGGGGTTTGAACCCCTCCCATTTTACTCATCTAACACCTTAATCACCATACATCACTTATGTTTTAGTGATAATATGCTAAAATATTTATATTTATATGGGTGACATGTTAACAATTACATGCAAAATTATTTTGGGGATTTATCATTTGATGAATACTATTCACAATACACTTACTCTACACATAGAGATGATGAAGATAGTGAAAATTTTGAACCTCATAGGAACTCTATGTGGTACTAAGTCACTCATGTATCTTACCATACAATGTATAAAGTGTAAAATATTATAGTAAATCATTATATATAAATGATTATGGTGTGTTCAATCTTTTTTTCATTAATTACTACATATTTTCTACATTTACAGTGTTTGCCAACTCGCTGTATAATCAACTTAAATATGTTAAATCCATCTGTAATGCATTTCCTTCTCTATTTTTTTTAAAAAAAAAAACTAATAGATAATTGACTAAATAAACATTTTCCAAAGTTTCAATAAAAATTTCCAAGTTTTTCTTACAATTTCCGTGGTTTTTATTCAATTTTTATCGATATCGATAATATCCCGATATTTCCATCTAAATTTTCATGTTTTTGGACTACCGATATTTTATATATCATCGATATTTTAGACCATGGTCTTCACCACTCCCATTGGGTCGGGCTCTAACTCTTGATTGGGGCCATGCTATTTGCTAGCATGTTGCTGCTATCTTTTTGCACCTAACCATAATAAATTATCATGGGAAACAGTAACATCACGTGACATATCTTATAAAATTTAACTAGCTGATAATTAATTTTACGATATTTACTAAGCTAATAATGTTGTGACCATTTATACTGCCACTTTTATTGTGTCGTGTTAAGATTAATGTTAATAGTGGTTTGGAGCATTGTGGCAAAAGACCCACTAGTGTAGTGGTTTGAAGCAAATGCTCTTTGCAGGTAAGGTTTTGAGCTCAAGTCCTAACATTCGTATAGTTTATGTGAGTTTAGTATATTATTGTCTCTTTTAATAGGAAAGGTAAAAACAAATATATAACGTTGATAGGTCTTACCGCCAAAATTACTTGAGCAATTTTCCCGCCAAATAAAATGGAGGGCCCAAAAGTACGGTTGTCTAGTAGCTTAGCAGATAACATAGTCCAATTGTTGTCCAAGGTTTAACAAGAGGACCAAAGTTATCTGCAAAAAGATATTGGGGGCCCAGAGGATAAAGCCACTAATTGGGTTTGGGCCTCAAAGTCAAAGCGGACCCTTTGATTTTGGTTTGATACGAACCTCCCGTACTATTTTGGGTAGTGAGAGGTGGATCCAGATTTATCACGGGCGTAGAAACTTGTGCTGTACTAAAGTCCTTTTCAGCAGAGAAGACACAACATACAATCTCCAAGCCTTTAAATTAACAGCAACAGAAAATCTTGTTTAAACATGATTAACTTGTTTAATTAGGGTTAGATGAAGATAGTTTAACTTTGTATGAGTGCTTGGAAAGTTGCAGGCTTGTCATTTTTATGCTTTTGGCAGTGACCCCTCGACCTTGAAAAGCAGGGTTTGTTCTTTACTTCGATGTGGCTGATAGATCCATGCATTGAAAGTGACAAATGTTAAGGACCACTTACCCCACTTGTTTCTGATGAATATTCTCGAGCATGGAAACACAAGAGGTCGAGAGTAAAAGTAAATACTTTTGACCACTTAAGCTGTAAGTCTCTTGCGATTATAGCCGGTGCTTTTGACATAAACCCGATCCATTGATCTCATGATTACTTACAAGTTACAAGAGAGCAGATATTATTCATGTAATTTTGATATAAGCCTATAGCTATGTACAAAATCAACCCCCAACACCCTTACAATAATGTAAAACAATAATTTGCAGAGAGCGCAAAAACTTGATCATGCGGACACGAGGTACCTAAAACTGAACTCATAAGGTATAATTTGAACAACCTGTGAAAGAGGCTCATTTTTCCCTCTTTCAAGCAGCTTAATTGCGTCTTTTCCCAGTTCACTTGGTAGCTGAAGGCAGATCCAGTCTAGCAGTGACTCTATATCCTTTGCAAAATCAGGCAGATACCAGTTCAAGAGTTTTGGAATTGCAAATTTAGTTGATGAAATTCCAACTGCAGCTTGTAAGTACTCTCTTTTTGCCACTTCCAGTTCATTTTCAACTTGGGATGCAGTATACACTCTCACCTACATTTGGCAGAAGGCCATTTATTACTGATGTCAGTTGCTTGGAACTTTGAACCTGTGAAGAAATTTGTACAAATACAGTTCTTTTATTCCATGTGTAAACTTACAGCAGGGGAGGACCAGCTTCCACATGATAGTGCAAATGTGACCAAAGGTTCAGATAATTCCAATCCAAAAATGCTTCTTGCTGTCTTCTCATCATTTTTTGTACCCTTGGATAAGGTCTGGTCAGGAGTTAAAATTTTGATGAGAAATTATCTCCTTCCATGCTTGCCCATCCCCACTTCCCCCATTAAAAAAAAAAAAAGGAAAAGAAAAAAAAGAAGAAAACCAGAATAAAAATCTCTGTGCATACACAAGTTGACACCACTTACATATTTTGAGTGATAAGGCAGTCTCAAGATAAAGTGTTCAATAGTAATTGCATTTAACAAGTGTCCTCCAACATTTATTGTTGCCTGAGTAAGACGAAATACAACAGTATGAATTATTGACCAGCAGAAGTGTTTTTAATCACTTGCTTTATACATATAAATGGAATTTGTGAAAAATTGTATTTGTAATTATAAACAGAAGCTCTAGGATCTTGGATATTCCATACCTTCTGCATGAGTGCAACAATTATCTCAGGACTCTCAGGTATTCCGTGCTCTAGAAATGCCTGCAGTATTGTAGAAGAGCAGCAGATGAAATAATTCCTTAACAAAGGCAACTACATGAATGTACAAAGAACATAAACTATTTACACACATTCATCATGCAGGAATTGTAGATATTTATCCAGAATGCAAGCTTCTCCTGATGACTGAGACGTTGTAAATTTACAGACGCAAGTTTTCGGAGCAGTAGCCTGAGAATTCAGCCAATGAAATGACTTTAACTCTTAGAATTATCATCGTATCATGCAAAAGGTGGAAAACGAACCTAACATTCTGAACAGAAAACTTACTTCAATCTTCGGAGTAGGAACAAAGCATTTGCTGTTCGGTTTGGATTAATAGTTTCAGCTTCAATTGCATGTAATTGCTTATATGGACCGATATCTCTTTGTCCAAATTCGGAACAAATAGCATAAGGATCCCAAGATTCTTTTGGTTCATTATTTTCTTGAGCTGCTAATGTTGAGAAGGAAGGTAAACTTTCGGCAGTGCCCTTTGCTGAACTCATTGTCATAAGAATGCTTGATAAGCACTTCAGAATGTTTTCAGAAATTTTGTTGGGACTTTCATCTCCGGACATCTCTTTGTCCGGTACTTGTGCACTTTCTTGGTCCATGACTTTATATTCTAACTGAACATAAGACACAAAAGATACCATGTTAATGGCACTGAAATAAGTTTGAGTAACTTGATGAAAATGTGGTAATTTTACCATGTACCTGTAGTTTCTGAGGATCTGAACGCTTTTCTGCTGTTTTGTGATCAATTGGAGGTCCCTTCACTGGAGTCCTAACCTGAGCTTTGTGGATCAAAGATTTCTCGTTCTTCTTCTTCGTAGAATTGTTAGAAGATTGGTTCTCTTTCCCCTGCTTATCATCTGAAATTGCAACAAAGAACATTAAGAATTTCATGGCCTGCTCCGAATTTTCTAACACTAGAAATGGACAATGGATTTTACAGCTAATTAGGTTGAACCTATAGCTTACCAGAAGGGGATGGCCAATGCTTCTCAGTGGCATTGGTAGAATTGTTTACTCTTTGAGCTTGAGATTTGGGTTGCTCCTGTTTGGGATTCTTTATGGGGTATGAATCACACAAATCAGCTGAGGTTTCCATTTTCCTCTTGGAGGTTGATATGTTGACAGCTTCCTGATACAAATCCTTCCTAAAATGCACTAGCTGTTCTTCTAGCCGAACCACCTCCTCTTCCAGAACAGCCACTTCGGCTAGAAGCTCCAATGTCTACAGAGTTTCAAAGTGTCAATGAAAATTTGAAATTACCTTCAATTCCTCTAACTTCATTAGTTCAAGTTACTTTCCTAAACTCCTCTTCCATGAATTTATGTATTATATGAAAAATTATAGTGAATTACTAACATAAGGAGGCAGATAAGGAGGTAGACGAGGTAGAGCTCCCAAGGGTCTAGTAAATGCCCTCTGCAAAGCTCTGTGTACATTCTCTTCATGTCTAAGCTTCTTCTTCAGCTTATCAACCTAAGAAAATTAGAAAGTTATACTCGATAATCAATAGAAGATAGAAAGGATATGAAATCACAAAACTTAAAAAATAAAAACAAAAATTCAAACATACGTCTTGTTGTAAAGCCAATTTTCTTTCTCTGCTTGAAGCTCGTCCATTGGTGATTGGTTTTGCGGTATCCCTTAGCTTACTCCCTTGCATTTTTACCTTCGCCTTTAAATATATACAACAATTAGCTCCCACAAGAAAATAGTCTACTGGGAAGAGAAGAGGAGAAGAACTAATGGGAAATCAGAGAAATTTATAACCCATAATGAAAATAAAACAAAGAAGCTAACTTTAATGTCTCCTGTAGGGACAATGAAGAAAATTTTGTGAAACAGGGGATGGTCACAGTCAAGCCAATGACCAAAATTGAGAAAAGGAATGGAGATAAACAATTAATCAGATTGAAATGGAAGACCCCATCTCGGAAATCTATCCAAAGATGCGAGCAATTTAAGAATTTTGGGAGCCTCCTCATCGAATTTGAAGCCATATTTTGTGGTGAAAACGGTTAAAGCTAGCTCAAATGGAAATAATTATGCGCTCCATGGCAATATGGGATAGGCTCCTCTCACAGTGAAAACTGTTTTTCTAAAACTATGATTAAAAAAATGTCAAAAGCACATAGCTTAGCTTGGCTCAGAGTTCAACGTAAGATTACTTTTTCATTCTTCAGAGGAGGCATTACTTTTTCATTCTTCAGAGGAGGCTTCATAGACTGCAGCCGTGTCTTCACTCTGGTATTCATCTTCTTCCTACTTCTTTTAATATCTGCAAAAGTTGTGATTTTGTGATCAAACCAATGTTACCAAATCCAAGAACTTTATTAAATTCATGAAAGAAACAGACTTTGAAGTGGGCAAATTCAATTAAGACACTACGTTGAATTGCTATAAATAGAGTTGAGATTCAGACCCTTTCACAGAAAAAAAGTTCATTCCTTTCAACAAACCCAAGACAAACTTCAATGGCACCAAACAGTCCAATCCCTGCCTTCCTCGTTCATGGTGAAGCAAAATGCAAAACGAACCAAACCCATGTAACAAAAGCTCGGGGCTTTGAGCTGGGATGCTTTCGAATATGCAAAACTGAATGGAAAGCAAGTCCACCTATAAATATACAGTACTAAAACACAAACTGGATGGTTTTCTCTTTGTCTAATCTCTATCTTCCACACCGCTTGATTTATAAAAGCTTCATCTCAAGACTCAGAGAGAGAGAGAGAGAGAGAGAGAGAGAGAGAGGCTTTAGTGAAAGGTGAATTGGGTTTGGATGTGCATAAAGGTAAAAGGGCAAGCGCAATGTGGAGCCGTACAGAGCTACAAGCAAAGCACAGCATACGCACTAACAGTATGGTGCTCACTTGTTTGCGTCATCATGAACCAACGTGCACTTTTCTCTTTTAAGCTCCTGCAACGTACCACCGACTCTGCTGCTTTTACATCTTCTTCTTTCCCCTGTTTTCCTCTCTTTCCTTTTTTAGTTTTTTTAGTTTTTGAGTATTTCCGAAAATGCCCCTGAATGATGCCACAAGTATCAAAATTAAATGGGAAAAAAATTTCAATGGGAGACATAAATTGTGTTACCAAAATATTAAAATCAAAGGTTTGTATTTATTTATGTTCTTCATATTAACAAGGAGGTGATGAAGTTGACTGAGAAAAAAGATATGGGATTTTTTTGTGTTTTAAAATGGAGAGGTAAATGATATGGGGGGGGTATTATTAAAAAGGGGGTTTTTTTTTGGGGGGGGGGGGGGGGGGTGGTGTTCATTTGAAGGCAAAAGCTGCCCAAATCACATGTTTGCCAACTAACTAATATGAAAACTGGATTGCTTGAATTGAACCATTCAAGATTTGATTCATACTTGTTCTTCTTGTTACCATTTACAAATAAAAGATGAAGAGATGGGGTCAAATCATCATTAATCTTCTTCCTTATCTATGAGTATATATTAACATAATAAATAAATAAATAAAATAAATAATAATGGTTTGGATTGTGATATAGGAGATGATCATACACACATGGAATATTGGAAGGGGTGTGCTGAAAGGAAGCTGTCATGATGTTGATGGGGGTGGAAATTACACTTACAAATATGTGAGTGCAAGCAAAATGACACATTCTGTAAACATAAAATAATTAAATCCGTAAGATAGCCTCTTCCTCCTCTAAACTTTTATTCATAAAAAAATAATAAAAAAATAATAAAATGCCAACAGATGGTGAATTGGAAAAAGAAAAAAGAAATCCAAAAAAATGGACGCAGCACCACAGCCACGTGAGAGTGATCCCAAGCAAGCAAAACACTGGGTGGTGATTGATGACGATACCTATTTTAATGCTTCACTTAATTACGAGATTAGATTAACGGCTAATTATTGTGAAATGACCTTAGGCCACATTTCGTGTGGGGGTAGTTTCGTCATTTTGGTGTAGGAGTGGGAGGATCAGTAAAAGTCAAACAGCTTAGAAGAACTGGGATCGGCTACCTTTCGTGTGCAAATTATTTTTTCTTTTGTGTGCAAAACATTGGTAATTGAGTCTTTTTCTTTTCTTCTGGATTTCCGGAAGAAGTTGGTAACAGTCTTTCCAGAAGACGTACGTAGGTGGAAAAAGTTGGTGAGCACAAGCAATAGTCTAAACTAAAAGGGAAAAAGATTTCTCAAGTACACACAACGATGATGTTATGGGGTTCAAACATGAGACTTATAATCTGCAAATCAAAATCATTTTCCACTAAGTTAGACTTTTTTGAAATATGGATAGTTGGGATTTGATAAAAAGTTATGTTTAAGCGGGCACTTTTCGTTCAAATGATGGTCAAGTAAATGTCATTTTCGACTGGTAGGCTTCATCATTCAATCAAATTAATCAATCTAGCTATAAATAATTGAATCAAGTGGGTTCAACATGATTACAATGTGGAAATAAGTAATTAAATGGGTTGAAAACCTGGCTTAAAATTATTAATTAATTCTTTGGTTGAGGCTGCTTTGATGCATCTCAAATCACCCAAGTAATTTAATTGGAAGCTTTTTTTATTTTATGAATTTGTGTCACTAGCTAGAATAGATTTGCTGCTGTTCCATCTTCATATTCTACTTCCATGCACGTTAATCCAAATTATATGCATTGATTCTCAGTTTGACCAACCCATAAACAAAATGGGGAAAATGCTAGTGGAAGGAAGGAAATATTATAAATTTATAATTGTTGAGCATTAGATTCTATATCAGATCAGACACGCATAAACAGCTGCTTAATACAACAAGAAGCTGTCTAATTAAATGAAAATTACTGTTATTATAAAGTTAAGTGAAAACTGAGAAAGGGTTTTTAGTCATAATCCGATATAAAACATATGCCAAAAATAGTTGATAATCTTGATTGGGAGATCTTCCAATGGTTGCAGAAGCTGATGGTGGCCCTGCTTCAGCTGATGGCCTTTTATATGCAAACCAACCCCCACAAGTCATTTCTTGCACAAAAGCCATCTACTCAGCCATGTTTGTTTCTTTTCCAACTTTTTTTTTTTTAAAGTGCTTATCTTTTATCTGCTTTTTAAGAGCTTTTCAGTGTGGGGGACTTCGATTAGTACTGAAGTTGTTTGAGGCCTATCCAGAGAGCTCGTAGCTTTCATCTAATTCCTTTTTATTCTCTCTTATAGTTTCTGTAGTTTTTACCATGTAATTAAACCGACACATTTTCATTTAAGCAATTATGAAATTAATCTAACCTACCCAATTGTTCTGGGATGTTGGGAACATGAATTTATGCCAAGAGCAAAATATCATCTTTTTGGAAAGGATACTGCTTGTCTCATTCCCTTCCCTGTAAGGGGATGCTCCTCATTCATGCAAATCACAGTTTGATACATATGCAAAAATAATTCATCAAAACATGTCACACTACTATTGGTAGGAATGTAAGAACTTCTACCTACATGATTCGGGAAATTGATCGTCGGAGAAATTTAGGAAATAAATGGGATACATATAATCATGGAATGTTGGTCTAAAGCTGGGTGTGGGATTTCGGTAGCTGGGGCCTCTGTTTTACTCTGCACATACATGCCATGGGTTTCTGGGGTCTTTTTTAGATGCATATCTGGCCAAAACAAAAAGTGAAAAAAATAAAAGAAAAATTGTTAAAAAGTCTATGTTTTTAGGTCCACCATATAAGAATCAAAGCCAGTCTACTTTGGCTTGGGGCTCTCCTCCTTGCTTGTTCTTAATTTGAGGTCAAATTGATGTTTGGCTGTCTCCTATAGAAAAGGGTCCACTCTTAGACCAGATGAAGTGACACCAACAAGCAAGAAATCTCCATTATTGGATTATTGGATAATAAAGCTCAAGATCTTAAAAGTTACAGCAAAGTAACAGAATATAAATTGAAAGATTTGGTTTGCTTTTCATACTTGGGTAAAAATAATGTCCAATGGGTTCTGTTCATAGCTCTCACAGGACAAAAGTTTGCCAGCTAGCTGGACCATTTTTGCATCCTTTTAATCTACATACTTAACTTTGTCTTTTTAATTATAGGACATACCAGATCTCCATGAGTGTACTGCTTGCCTCTTTCACGCGAATCACAGTTTGACACATATATAAAAATAATTCATCAAAAACACAAAAAGAAAAACTTATACACACATCACACTGTTATTGGCAAGAATGTAAGAAGGACGTATTTTCCTATTCGTTACAGCGTAAGTTGGTGATATTTTTTGTTTATATGTCATATTTTATCTGTTTGTGCATTGTTAATACTTGAGGGGACATTAGGAAACCCAATCTAACATGTTAAAACAGACGTTTTACCTTCTACAATATATAAATTAATTTTAAAAAAAAGAAGTGAATTATATTTAGGTTTAGCTTTTGGCTTCTTGCTTGTGAAAGATTTGCAATGAAGACGGGAAATGAGACAACGCTGCATGTAAAACAAACGGAGAATTGAGAGGCTGTTCAAAGTTTCATGGACTTGTCATTTTCAGCTTCTATGGTTTTTTTTCTCTTTTTCTTTTTGGGTTTTGCCAGCACGAACCACGAGTGCTGGTCCCTGTTTGTTTCTGTTCATACCACTTCTCTTCTCTCCAAATTCCAAACCCAAACTTTTTTTTTTTTGGTCGAAAATTCCAAACCCAAACTTAGTCATTGTCGATGAAGTAAAACGAATTGGTTTTACATTTGAGCAATTAATTCAGGTGAACTTGGAAAATCTTCTTCTGAGTGTTTGATGTAGTGATTGAATTGTTGGGTCCAACTTTGTATCTCATGAATAAATCTGTGGTCCAACTTGTTAGCAGGCTTGTTGATTACAGTCCAAGGTAGAATTGGCCCAGAATGCATGGGTCAGCAAATTATGGGCTCTACTTTCAGTCCAATTTATTAGAGGCACATCAAAGTCGTTAATAAAAAATTTACTTTCAAGCAAAGGGCTTGTAGTTAAAGTGGTTAAAAACGATTTTTATTTGAAAAGTACTAAAATAACCCAAACATTAATTTTATGGGTCAGCCAGTTCTTGGGTTTCAATTTGAAAGCAGAAGTTGTAGCGTTCTCAGTTGGATAGTGAGATTGAACCCCTCACCCTAAATCCACTCATTATAGCATTTCCGATTAGAAACTAGTCAACTAAACTTATATAATAATATAAGAAAACTTGTTTTGTCCTAGCATAAAGCAAAAATGGAATTGAAATCATTTGTCTGTTGGAGGAATATAAGGAGATATGCCATGGCATTTGGGGTGTGTTTGGTTTATGGGAAAATTGGGCTTGGGAATGGAAAATCAATGATTTCTCATGTTTAGTAAGTCTAGTTCAGGCATAGGAAATGAGTTCCTGGCCCAAAAGAGAAGATGGGGGAAAATGAAACCCTCCATCCCCCTTGAGTCTCATTTTTCATGCCCATGGAAAACCAAGACAAGTATTAATATTTTTTCATGGTTATTTTGTTCCCATTAACAGTTTAGAAATACAATTTTATCACTCTTGGTATTCTTTTTTTGTTTTGTTTTGTTTATTTCATATTTCTAATTGGGCTATAATTGGAAAACTAAATAAAGTTTGTTTTCCATTCCTACACAAATTAAACACGAGAAAGAAAGTAAAGTAGTATTTTCTCATTACTTTCCTAGCATTATCAAACGTGAGAAGAATAAAAAATCTTCCATTTCCCATTCTTTAAAAAATGATATCTCTTTAAATTCTTTTCGCGAACCAAACGAAGCACAAATTCTCTTGTGCAAGGAATATTGAACAACAACATCAAAGTTATGGGACATATTTTGATTATAAAGTAAATGGGTTTATAATAGTTGTACACACACTCAAAACAAACATATGAGACTCGAGGCCTTGCAGCCTGTTCACAATGCTTGGTATCATAGATTGTTCACGTCGTCGCATTGTTTATTTAACTATTAATTTCTGTATTAGTCTAGGCTGGATATGGGTCAACTTTTCCAACCAATCCAAAGAATTACAAAATTTCATTCTCTTTTGAGCCAATGCTGTATTAATTATCAGTTAATTATACAACCAAACGCCTAAGTAATCTCGTCCCAAGTTTCAGATTAGGTCTATAAATTCTAATTAGCATTCATTATTGTAAGCAAGGACTTGAAAGATGAAGCTTTCCTTCCTTGCATGTTTGTTTCTCCTCTCTATCTCTAGCATATCATCATCATGCAATGCTAATTACCAAACTAACAACCTCATTAAGAAGTTGATTAAGTCTCGCAAATCTGCTAGAAACCCTAAATCATGGGATGGCTTATACTCTCCTGTGTACGTTGGCTCCCAAGAAGGGTCAATGGAGGCTGATAAGATTGAGGCTTTGCCAGGGCAACCAGCTGGAGAAGTAAATTTCAATCAATATGCAGGCTATGTTACTGTGGACCCTAAAGCTGGGAGAGCTTTGTTCTACTACTTTGTCGAGGCAAATAATTCTTCAAGCAATCCTCTGGTGCTATCGTTACATGGAGGTAAATAACAATATTATATTTATTATTATTATTATTATTGTTATGAAAAAATTAGTTTAATTAACTTAATTAATTAATTACAACTGATTACAGGACCTGGAGGATGCTCGGCTTTTGGATATGGAGCCTTACAAGAACTGGGACCATTCAGAGTCGGCAACGATAACAAGACACTAATTCCTAATGATTATGCTTGGAACAACGGTACTAATTTAAATTATGTGCAACTTAATTAGTCTCTAATTAATTAATTAATCAATACAAGTTCTTAATTAATTTCCATTAAAAATGCATGGCAGCGGCAAACGTCCTCTTCTTGGAGACTCCATTAGGAACTGGGTTTTCGTATTCGAACACATCGTCTGACTACGACACCGTGGGTGATGAGATCACGGCCCAGGACTCTCATGCATTTCTTGTGAACTGGTTGGAGAGATTTCCTCAATACAAAGACAGTGATTTCTTCATCACTGGAGAGAGCTATGCTGGTCATTACGCACCTGAACTTGCTTACACCATTCTCTCCAACAACAACATCACAAACCAAACAAAAATCAATCTCAAAGGAGTTGCTGTGAGTACTTGATTAATTGCTGAATTTTTTTTCATTGTAGTACTAGAGAAAATATGTGTTACAAGAGAACCAGACTGTATATGTTCTTTAACGAGACGATGTTGTGTGGCAGTATATATATAAGTCTGACAAGAGAACATTGCTATGTTTACAGTCGTGTGTTCATACATGGGTATTTTGTATTTGCAGATTGGGAATCCTTGGATCGATCTTAATACCGCTCTACTGGCCCTTTATGATAATTTGTGGACCCATGCTTTGAACTCTGACGAAACCAATGCAGGGATACATAAATATTGTAACGTTACTGACTTAGGAGGTAAGCAATCCAACGTGTGTGTTGAATACGTGCAACAAGCAATCGAGGCGCTTGGGGAGGATATTGATATTTCCAACATCTACGCTCCAATTTGCAAAACATCACAAGATTCACAACCCAAATCTGTCTCAACTGCTTCTGTAAGTCTCCAAACCTGATTTCAACAAAATAATATACATATAATACTGCAGGAAGGAACAGAAGAAAATATTAATTTATTGTTATCCTAAATGCAATAATATTGTTACTCCATTAGAGCAAACTGGGGCTTGTAAATATAGTTAATAGTAAATTTAGCTTAATTCTTTGAAAGTCATTTTTGCTCAACTAGGATTCATTTCTTTATTTTTGTTTGAATAAAATCCTGTTTTTTCTAAATAAAACCCAATAACTAGGATCCAACTCACCATATTACTTAATCAAGCGCAAAATTGAATTTATTGTACGTTTTTGATTCGTAAAATACCCCCAACTAAGCCTTATTGAATTTTGTATATTAATGTAGAAACTAATATAGAAACGATTTTTAATTAAATTGTAACTACTGATACACTTGAATTTGGAAAGATCTCCAAATGGATGTAGGAATTAATTTGGAATTTTTTTTTAAATTTAACAAAAAATTCATATTTAACATACCTAATCAGTTTATTTCACAAATTTTTTTATATTTATTTATTTAAGAAGTATACATGATTAATTATCTATTTTATTATTGTTTATAAATATAATTATATATACATATATATACAATTTTATATTGAAAAAATAACGCACCTATTATTTTTATAGGTAATAATATACCTATTAATTTTTATGGATAATAATATACCTATTATCGTGATTTAATAAAAATAGCGTATATACTATTCAAAATTAATGTATAGAATTTTGCTATTACAAAGTAAATAACTTTTTTTGGTATAAGAAATAATGTACGTACCTACTTTTTAAATAATTTACCTATACAATCTAATTAAATTAGCATACCTATTTAAAAAAAGGGAGTTTTACTAATACACCCAAAATAGGGGTTGAAATTATAAAAAAACCCAACATGAAAAACACTTTAGAAACACACACAAAACCCATTTATTAAACACACTCAAAACTCATTTATAAACACACCCAAAAAATATACAATTGTTGATTTTTGGGTTGATTTTGGGTGTGTTTCTATGTTTTAAACAGTGTTTGGTTTTTTTTTATAAATTCATGTCTAGGATTGGGTTTATTTATAAATTTGTATTAAAAAAAATAACATATAGGTAAATTAGTATGATATTTTTAAACTAGTATACCTACAAAATATAAGTAAATTAGTAGGTGAATTTTGTATTTAGTATAGCTGCAAAATATAGGTAAACAATCTTTACAAGTGTAGGTAAATTTAATTAACCTAAGTATACCTACAAATTACTATAGGTAAATTAGTGGGATCTTTTGTGTGCAGTAAGTGTAGGGTTTAGGGATGTATTACAAATTTCATGGTTGGCATTAGTATTGATTATAATTTACATTCATTACTAATTAAGATGGTAAAAATTTAAGTTTTAATGCCATATATAGTTGGATGGCATTAATTGTAAAATAGTTAAAAATAATAGGATAAATGGTAGCCTATTTTAAATTTGGATTTTGGTTGGAGATTATAAAATGGGTGGATTATTGTTTAGAATATATGAGTTACACCGTCTTTCACCTAACATCTCTATAATTAATTATATATGAATCAAGCAAGATATCAATTATATGATGCATCATGCATGTGTTTACATTATCAGGTTGATGATTTTGATCCATGCTCCGACATCTATGTCGAGAGCTATCTAAACCTTCCCGAGGTGCAGGCAGCTCTTCATGTTAAACCTACAAAGTGGTCAGCTTGCAGGTATATATATAATTCGAATTTATATACGTCATTTGAAGGGGATCCCTCAATAGAAGGGGACTGTATATATATATCTAATTTTTTTTCGGTTTTGTTCTGGTCTCTAGTGATACTGATTGGACGGACAGCCCAGACAGCATGCTACCCACAATACAACAGATCATACAAAGTGGGATAAGTTTTTGGATATATAGGTGAGGCGCCTTGGATTCATTAAGCTCAGAAACTCCATGCATGGCTGGCTGTATATATTTAATTTAACAAACATGAATTAGATTACAATAATATTATGTATATGGTAAATTAATTCATAATTAAGGTAACTAATTACAGTGGAGACGCCGATGGGTTCTTCTCAGTCACATCTTCTAGATACGCCCTGCACATCCTCAACTTACCCATCAAGACTACATGGAGGCCATGGTACTCTAATAGGGAAGAGGTAATTAATATTTGATTCATATACAGAGGGGCTAGCAAGTAATTAATTCATATATGAGGGGCACTTACGGTATTCATGTTTGTGTATATGGCAATGCAGGTTGGAGGATATGTGGTTGGGTACGAAGGGTTGACGTTTGCTACTGTGAGGGGAGCTGGGATCATGGTTCCCAGCAACCAACCTCAACGAGCACTCACCTTGATCTCATCTTTCCTTGAGGGAAAGCTTCCTCCTTCCGCCATGTGACATTGTTGTAAGCTTCAGTTGTCAATGATCGTTTAGTCTAGTGACGTTTAGTTTTCACACGTCTAGAGTTGATTGTATTGATGAAATTGAATAAATAATAATAATCCAAGTTTCAGACTTGATGATATGTAAAACCTATTATATGCAATGTCGCTCTGATCAATAATGTGAAGCTGAGTTGTCAATTGTGATTTTTATCTAATTTTGGTTGGTTGAAAGTGTTCTAAATTTGTTGCCGTTCACATCATATTGAAAGTTTAAAAAAGACTAAAAATGGGTTGAAGACAAACGCTACTAGACTACTCGCTTTCTCAGTCCAATCTAACTTCTGTAGCCAGGCTTGCTGGTTGCGTGGGCCAAAGTGTAGGGCTGGCCTTTTTTTAAAATATAATTTTTATATAAACGATAATTTATTTTAAATTAATCTATATACAAAGAGGGAGATTCAAACTTGGGTGCAAGGGACGGATTCACTGTCTTAGTCAACTCACCTAACCCACGTCTGCCTGAATATAAAACTATTATATTCTTAATAGATTAGACACAAAAATCATAGCTTAGAATCATTAGATGTGAGTGAACTACTGTGCTCTCATTTAAAACAATCAAATGAGAGGCTCTAATTCGCCTCCTCAAGCTCTCCCTTGCCAACAAAAAAATACTTTAAAAAAAGGGTTGTTACGAGATAGGCCCTTATAACTCTCATATCAACTTATTGAATTTTAAACTACTATCAAAAACCCACATTTGAATATAGGTTAATAATTGTCCTAATATTACAAAATATTTACACACTATGCCATCTATCTTAGTTCTCAAATATCTTATGTTTAGCATTTATATTTAATTATTTTTAATTTGTCACCTATTTAATATTGAAACGTTTTGAAAAAAATAAATCAATGAATACATAAATAATCATGTACCGTGCACTACCTAAATATAACAATATTAAATAAATTATAATATATACCTAAAGCAAATTATTCTTTTTTTCTAAAAGAATATTGATTAGATAATTGTATATTGGAAAGAAAAAAAAATACATGCAAAAAATAATTTACCTACATATCTAGTACAAGATAGGCAAATAGATAGATACATACTTATGTATAAAATAAAAAGCAAAATCTAGGTGCATTATCTATATAAGCAAAATATAGGTGCATTATTCTTAAGAAAAATTAGGTACATTATTACGTTATCCTATTAGAAAGACAATTCGAAGAATTTATAAATTTGCATTAAGTACATTATCCTATTATTTCATAATAGGTACAATTTTCGAGGGATGGTAATTAGATGATAAATAAATAATTTGTGTAAGGCACATAGAAATATTTGTGGTGTGCATTACTTACCCAAAAATATATATTTGTGTGTGCATTAATATATCGTATGTGCCAAACATTTTGAAATTTAAAACAAATTAATGTGTGAGTAGTCAAATTTGTAATAAATTCCAAATTTAAGAGAGGAAAGAAATCAACACAAGAAATTGAGGAAAAATTACCGACATTTAATACAGTAAACTCTAAGTGGGGGTACTTTTGGAATATAAAAAGTATAATAACTTGCTTAATTAGGCGAATATTGATTAGGTAATTGCCTAGAAGAAAGAAAGTTCGAGCAAGCCCGATTGTTTACTTCGCTAATATTCTAGGCTAGATGCGCAGTTTGATGAGCATATATCCAAAGAAAAGTCTTTCAGAGACAATGACAGCACAGCCAAAGCTTACACGTCATAGCCAAACAGACGTTAAATTACACGCTGCATTTTGTCCATAACGGCTTAGAATTCTCATCCCATCCCAAGATTTCAGCTCTCGACTTTTAATTTGTCCTATAAATACTAAAAAAACAGTCCTTTCGTATATTCAAGCAGTAAAAAACTAAAAGACCATGAAGCTTTCACTGCTGCTTGGCTGCCTGTTAGCCTTCCTCATCATATCATGCAACGCCAACCAAATTGAAAACCTCAACAAGTTGCTCAGGTCTCGTAAATCTGCAAATCCTCCTCATCCCAAGTCATGGGAGAGCTTGGATGTTGCAGATGGCCAAGTTTCTGCTTTGTATGTTGGAGCCCAAGATGGGTTGAAGGAAGCTGATAAAATTGGTGCTTTGCCAGGCCAGCCTCAAGGAGTAGACTTCGATCAGTACGCAGGCTATGTTACGGTGGACCCTCAGGCTGGAAGAGCACTGTTTTATTACTTTGTAGAGTCGCCTCAGGATTCTTCAACTAAACCATTGCTTCTGTGGTTAAATGGAGGTAAGCTTTTACATACAATTTTAGCTATATATATAAGTTGAATATATATGATTTCTTGAATTGCAACCAAAACCTTATAGTAGCATGTATATCTTCAGCATCTCATCATTGGACCTAAGGAATTTAGAATGCATGCACACACTGAACACGCACGAAGACATTCATACATAGAAAAATTTATCTTGTCAAACAGCCCATCGGATTAGCTAATATGTTATGTTGTCGCAATTCCGAGCATGATCAAGTAAAATTTTAGTTAATTAATGAATGTGTGTAATCTAAATTGGCATGCGAGTCAACAACATAAAATATCATTTATCTAATAATTAAAGAACATTACCTTATACAGATAATAAAAAAATTTCCCATGCCTTTTTCGAGGAATATCTGATTACTTCATACATACATAAACTACTTTTCAATTAATTTTTCCTGAAAAAATATATCTTTAGAAACAAACCATATACAACCACTGGAAGCAAGTCTTATAGTTTTCTAAGGAAAACAACAAATGGATCGATAAGATATTTGAATGAAAAAGAAGAATCGAAAACAGCCACATGCTACTATCTATGATTAATCGACCTAGACTATCCATAAATATTCGGTTTGTCGTTTAGCCATCGATCGTTATCATCAACTGATAGAAAGCAAAGCAACCGGCAACGGCCATTGATAGAAGCAAAGCAAGTGCATGCTCATGTCTAGGGGCCCAGAAAACATAAAGAATGATGCATGGGGTTCTACAGCCAAGTAGATAGGTGCACAAAGAGAGGGCCCCACACTTGCAAGAATTTTCCAATCTCACATGATCACCAAACAGTCCCCTTTGTATTTGCTTTACAAACATGTTGAGTGTTAAAAGTCTTGAGGTCCACCACCACTAAAATGAAGATATTTATTATCCTGCAGATTCAATAGGGTTCGAAAATAACTACTGTTACAATTGGATATGTTGGCTTCAATGGTTTTCAGCCATTTAATGTGTCATACAGTATCTTCCCACTTTCTAGTGGGCATACCATTTCATTTGTTGGGGAAAATATAGCACCCAAGAGAGACGCACTTATACACAAACAAATAAATTAACAATCATCAACTAGAAGAACCATTCAACATTGACCAATTCCAATTGTTCTTGTCTTAGTCACTTGGGCTAATTTGGTATGTAGTTATGAACCACTAATGTAATGACAATTGGACCATGAAATTGTGAGGAATTCATAATCATTATGAAGAAAATTCTAAAATTGAAAAAATGATTATATGGTACTGGTACTAAAACATTGTTGTTACCAATTCACATGCTATAATATAGGATGATATTTATTGTGTACAGGACCAGGATGTTCGTCATTCGGATATGGAGCCATGGAAGAACTTGGACCCTTAAGAGTGAATAGTGATATAGAAAGACCCTATTCCGGAACGAATATGCTTGGAACAACGGTAATTAATTAACCAGCTTAATTACATATGTAATAAGCATGTGCAAACTTTTGCAATACAATTTTACAGAACTTTTAAGACTAATTCCAAGCACCCAAAAAAAAAAAAAAACATGTGGCAGTGGCAAATGTGCTGTTCTTGGAGTCTCCAGCAGGAGTTGGGTTCTCATATTCAAACACAACATCTGACTATGAAAACGTGGGTGACAAGAGAACAGCCCAAGACTCCTACAAGTTTCTCATAAACTGGCTGGAGAGATTTCCCCAATACAAAACCAGAGATTTCTTCATGAGTGGAGAGAGCTATGCCGGCCATTACATTCCTCAGCTTGCCTCCATCATTCTCCAACACAACAAAGCCACGAACCAAACAAAAATTATCAATCTCAAAGGCATTGCAGTAAGTACTGTACTTAATTAATTATTTTATCTGTTCTTCATTTGTCAACTGATGTATTATAATTAAGTTAATTAATTTGCAGCTTGGAAATGCCTGGATCGACGACAGCACGGGTCAACTGGGTATTTATGATTATTTGTGGACGCATGCTTTGAACTCTGACGAGACCAATGCAGGGATACACAAATATTGTGACTTTGCTTCTGATAATTCTTCCAGTTCATGTGATAAATATCAAAACCAAGCAATGGACGAGGCTGGAAATGTTGATATTTACAACATCTATGCTCCCCTTTGCAAAATATCACAAGCCAAATCTCCCTCAACTAGCACTGGTTCTGTAAGTCTCTAGCTAGCTGAGCTTAATTTCCCAGTTATGGATTAGAATGACTTAATTAAGCTTAGAGATGATTAGCAGGTTAATGGATTTGATCCATGCTCTGATTATTATGTGGACACCTATCTAAATCTTGTGGAGGTGCAAGCAGCTCTTCATGTCAAACCTACAAATTGGTCGGGTTGCGGGTATATAATTTAATTACTGTTTGATTAAGATCAGAAGGTTTATTTTTATCATTTTGTTAGAATATTTCTTTAATCCTTCTTCTTTTTTCCTTCATGCATTGTGTATATATTAGTGGTGTTGGATGGACGGACAGCCCAACGACAATGCTACCCACAATTAAGCAGCTCACAGCAAGCGGGATAAGTTTATGGATGTACAGGTGAGGGAAAAAGCCTTGAATTGATTAATCTAATTTCATGATCCAATTCCCTTTGAAAAATCCATGCACGGATGGGTGTGTTTTATCAACATATTAGTTGTAATTACTTAACATAAATAATTTTGAGATTTCATGATAAATACAATTACAGCGGAGACACTGATGGACGAGTACCATTCACATCTTCTAGATACGCCTTAAGCACCTTAAAATTGCCTTTACAAACTGCATGGCGGCCATGGTATTCGAATACAGAGGTAATTACAGTTACGTATTTTATTAATAAGATGACAAGTAAATGCGGTACAAATAAAATCACTTATATATTATTATACATCCAACTGAAAATAAGATTGACACATTTTCCTTATGGTGTTGGGTGGCAGGTTGGAGGATATGTTGCTGGGTACGAAGGGTTGACACTTGCTACGATAAGGGGAGCTGGGCATATGGTTCCCAGCTATCAACCACAGCGAGCACTCACCTTCGTCTCATCTTTCCTTCAGGGGAAGCTTCCTCCTACCTCCTAAATTAAATCAAACCCCTCTTCTTTAGTTGGGGGAAAAATCCGCATTACATGCTGTTAATTCCCATATTAATTATCTGAATATATTCAGATATATTTATATTTAACCGAAGCATTCAAAAGTATTTGATTTGTAACCCCTATTGAAATTCATACTCGATAATTGAAGTTAATTAATGATAATGACCCAGAAGAACATGTTTTTATATATAATATATAATCTAAAATTTGGGTTGGATTGGATGAAGATGTTTCATATTTTTCCTATTGGCATCATATTGAAAATGCACAGATGATTTAATCCCCAAAAAAATGACATGATAATTGACTGATAATGGTGTGAAACGTGCACATTAAAAAAAATAAAAAAGGGTGAATTATGTTGCACATTAAAAAAAAAATAATAATAACGTGCACATTATAAATAGAATATTTCAAAGTTATAGCCGTGCGGCTATACCAGCCATTGAATAGCATAATATGAATTTCTCGTTTTTAATTACTTTAATTAGTAGTTATGTTTTAATTATTATTTACTTAGTGAATAATTAGTATTTTAAATATTTTTATAAATTTTATTTTTATTCAATAATATGTGAGTATTTTGTGTATAATACGTGAATTTTGTGTGAATTATTGATAATTTTGTAAAAAAACAAGTGTATTAAACATGAAAAATATTTACGTACGTATACGATACGAGTATTAAAAGTGAAAATGCTAAATTCTTTATACAAGTAATAACTCTAGAAAAGTAAAAACTCAAAAGGGAACAATGGAAACTCGGGTAATTGCCTAATAGTAAAACATAATGCTCTAAACTACTATTGTCGATAAACAAAAATGGGGGAAAAACAATAATAATCACAAAAAGATCACGATTTATAAAGAAAAGAATTTTTTTTTAAAAAGACCCTCAGCCGCCCGGCTATACTTTATTTTATATACAAAAAATCCAGAATATAGCCGTGCGGCTAGACTATCTAACGTATGGCACCGGTACGAGTATAGCCGCTCGGCTATAATCTGTAAATAGCCGATTGAATATCATAATACGAATTTCTCTTTTTTTATATAATTAATTTAATTAGTAGTTATGTTTTAATCAAAAAACAGTGTGAAAATGGGGAAAAACAGTTTTAAAAAAGACCCTCAGCTGCCCGGCCTAATAGTAATGGATAATGCTCTAAACTGCTCTTTTCGATAAAAAAAAATCGGGGAAAAAAATTATATAAAAAAAAGATCACAGTATCTAGGTAATATATAATATGCAGTGTTTTCATAATAATCCTGGCAATAAATTCACTCGTCAAATCTCAAATTTTTTGTATAAATTCTCATCCCAAGCTTGGTTTCAGTACTTAATATTCCACCCAAAATTATATCAACATGAAACTTTCACTGCCAACATGTTTGCTGCTCCTCTCTTGCTACCAATTAGCCTTGCTCTCCATATCATGCAATGCTAATCACCAAATTAACAACCTCAATAAGTTGATTAAGTCTCGCAAATCCGGGACTAATCCTCCTCATGATCGTAAATTGTGGGTTGGCTTAGATGATGTAGAGGACTCTTTTTCTCCGGTGTACGTTGGCTCCCAACATGGGTTGAAGGAAGCTGATAAAATTGAAGCTTTGCCCGGCCAACCAGCTGGAGTAAACTTTGATCAATATGCAGGCTATGTTACTGTGGATCCTAAAGCTGGGAGAGCTTTGTTCTACTACTTTGTAGAGTCACCCCATAATTCTTCAACCAAACCTCTAGTGTTATGGTTAAATGGAGGTAAATAATATACATCCTAAAACTATTAATTAAAATTTTCCTCTGCTCTGCATATATATGGTACATTATTTATATACCTTTCAATCAAAGTTATAGGCTAGATTTGGTGGCCCGGATTAAACTGGACTATTGTGTACTTAATGCAGGACCAGGATGCTCGTCGCTTGGATATGGAGCCATGGAAGAACTTGGACCGTTCAGGGTCAGCAGTGATAACAGGACGCTATACCGTAATGACTACGCTTGGAACAAGGGTAAGAAATGCTTTCATGTTCTAATCTCAAATTAATCTCTGCACTTTAGGGTTTAGTACTAATCAGCAGTGAGATTAAATTGCATGGGGGGCAGTGGCAAATGTGATCTTCTTGGAGTCTCCAGCAGGAGTTGGGTTCTCATATTCCAACACATCATCGGACTACGAAAGCGTGGGTGACAAGCAAACGGCAAAGGACTCTTACACATTTCTTGTAAATTGGCTAGAGAGGTTTCCTCAGTATAAACCCAGAGATTTCTTCATCGCTGGAGAGAGCTATGCTGGCCATTATGTGCCTCAACTTGCTCACACCATTCTCTCACAAAACAAAATCACCAATCAAACAAAAATTATCAATCTCAAAGGCATTGCAGTGAGTGTATATATATATATAATACTTCATTAATTAACCTCAAAGATGAATTAATAAGTTGATGTGTTTAATTGCTAATTATGCAGATTGGGAATCCTTGGGTGGATGATTATGACGGTGATATGGGAGTTTATGATTACTTGTGGACACATGCTTTGAACTCTGACGAAACTCATGCAGCAATACACAAGCATTGTGCTGACTTTGCTTCCGATAAACCCTCCGACACATGTCTTAAATATCAACTCCGATCAGACCGCGAGTGCGGAGACATTTACAACATCTACGCTCCCCTCTGCAGAATATCAGAATCCAAATCTGTCTCAACTGGTTCTGTAAGTCTCTAACAAACAAATTATGGTTTTGGTTTTAAAACCAGAGAGCTTCCAAGTTACAGTAAAAACAGAGCCTTTTGTAATGGTTTTATTTACATGTTCAGGTTCATCATTTCGATCCATGCTCTAGTAATTATGTGGATGCGTATCTAAATCTTGTTCAAGTGCAATCAGCTCTTCATGTTAAAGCTACGAATTGGTCAGCTTGCGGGTATGCCTAAATTGATTTCCATTGAGGATCTGTTTTTCTCTAGTGTTGGATCCTCTCAAATTATATACTAGCTGAAAAAACAGGTTCTGAATTTCTAACCCTTTTTCTTTTTCTCTGCATTATCTGTAGTAATATTGGATGGACGGACAGCCCAGTGTCTCTTCTACCCACAATAAAGCAGCTCACAGCCAGTGGGATAAGTTTTTGGATATACAGGTGAGAGAGCCTTGAATTGATCAAGCTTTTAACTATAATCAAAACCCCTTTCCGCATATTATTTTCATCCACAAATTTTTGATAATGCATGGTTGTATGCTAACTTACAGTGGAGACACTGATGGGAGAGTACCAGTCACATCTTCCAGATACTCTATAAACAACCTTAAGCTGCAGCTCAGGACTTCATGGCGGCCATGGTACTCCGATGGCGAGGTAATGGATAAATTCATCCTACATCCCTCTCTCTCTCTCTCTCTCTCTCTCTCTCTCTCTCTCTATATATATATATATATATCGAATTGTCAACGATACATTGAATTTGATTGGGGTTTTTTTCTTCTCATGATCAACGTTGGTTGGGATGCAGGTTGGAGGATATGTGATTGGGTACAAAGGGTTGACATTTGCCACAGTGAGGGGAGCTGGGCACATGGTTCCTAGCTATCAACCACAGAGAGCGCTAACCTTGATCTCATCCTTCCTCAAGGGGGAGCTTCTTCCTTCCTCTTAAGAGTACTCAATTATTTAATTACCCGCAATATTATTTGAATATCTATGTATTTAATTTATTTCCAAGGGTTCAACAGTGCTTGATCTGTAAATCCTGTTTTCAATTCTTATTCAATAATTGAAGCTCGAGAATAAAAATAGTTATAAATCACTCTAATCTATCCTTCATTCATCAGCATCGTTACGGCTGTTAAAGTGTGTGACATAAGATGAAAATGAAAAGAACTCTCATAAAATGAGCTTTCACTATAAGAATAATAAAAAATGTACAAAGCTAGAGAAAAGAATTCCCTACCTTTTATCTAAATAACGAATTATACATCTAAGAGAACAAGCTTTCTCTTCCACATTTGATCCCAACAGCCTCTTCACAGGCCGCTTAGAGGAAGCTTTCTGTCCTGCTGCTTGCAGAATATTAAATAGTTGCTTTGCAGCTGGTTTATGCAGAAATTGTGAAATTTCGCTATCCGTGTGTTTGTTCTTCGTGCTGCCTCAATTCTACACCATCTCCTTGTCAGCCTTCATGGGCCTGGGAGAAAACTGGAGACGCACTGTTCATGTAATCTACTATATACCCACGGGAAAAAAGGAGATGCAGGTTACTAAAATTAGTACAAGCAAAAATCTACCTGGAAAAAATACAATGCTTACAAGTTTACAGACAGACATTTGCTTGCAACGCTTCAATGATGCTACCCACCCATCTGTCGTCCACAAATTTAAAAAATATTTGTTAAAAAATTATAGAAAAATTATCGGGGGGAAGAATTATAAATAAGGAAATCCAAACTTAGAAGAAAAGGCTAATGAAAGTCTTCAGGAATATCAAATTAAATTGTATGACTGACACTGTTATATAATGCAAACTAGTGTTGTGGTAATAATAGTATATAAGAAAAGGTTAGAAAAGTTCATATTACCCTTCAAGACCTGGGTTTGCTGGGTAGTAAACATTTCTCAAGCCTAATTTCTTAGCAGCCTTAGCAGTTGTCTCACCAATACAGGCAACTGAATTGTTCCATTGCTCTAACTCTGAAATAAGATTGACCCAGGCACTGTTGCAATGGAGACAAGCTCAGATTAAGTAAAGTTGTCTATCCCGACATGATAGCTCAGAGAAACCAGTCTACATGTCATAAGACAAACAAGTAACGAGTTACTCACCGAATGGCAGAAGGAGAAGCAACTGCAACGACAGGGGCTGAAAGTGCCAGCTTCAAAACCATTTGATCGACATTATGAACAGGGGCCTAGAAGAAAATATCCAAAATCATTTTCTAAGTTCTGACTGAAATAAATCATTAGCTATCACAAGTACAATTAGTGTTAATATACCATACAACTGCAGACCCGCAACCTATAATAAAAAGGTTCAGACAAACATAACAAAGTCCACATGTCCACATTAGACCAGAGTGAGGCAATGATTGAGAAGCAGGAGGAGGGACGCCTAATGAGTATCAATGATGTATTAACATTTACAGCAGACAACTATAATCCCTAAAATAAATTTAAAAAAACCTGGAAAGAGCAATTATCTTTGATGAAATTCAACAGTAACACATAGAAAAGATGACCAATTGATGACAATAAACATACAGAAATGAAATATGTATTTACTAACCAATAAGAACAAATTTTTGAAACCTTTATACAACAATATAAATTATAGATGATTACTTAAAACCAATATAAGGAGGCCCACACTTGCATGCCAAAGATAAGTTATCATACCGTTGTGTACGTATTTAACCTCGTCACCTCAAATCCACGATTGGACAGGCCTTCCTCTGAAACAAATAGGCCAAGTTGAAAAAGGATAATAAAAATAAAATAAAAAAGTGACAACACTAATCTTGTAAACCACAACCAGCGGGTATTCAGATTGAAGCATTCCACATACCAATCTCATTGCTGGCCTTTGCAGAAGCAGGATATAAAACAGTGCACTTTTTATTCCCATTCTTAGGAAGCTCTGAAGCCAAAACCTTGCCTGTTGCTGAGGAGTTACAGTTGCCCCAAAAGAAAACCAAGGTTAGAATCCAAAAGTGGCCAAAACGAGAAAATAATATAACCCACAATATTGAGTCATATATTGAACAAAAGAAAACGATAGTAAAATCAAGCTCAGCAAGCTAGAAGAATGTTGCTTCATCACAAGAATTTTTTGTGTGGGGATATTTATTCTCCAATCCATCTATAATTTGATTTAAATAGTATTCAGTGCTTTCCACTAAGTGTTAAGATAAAGTTTGTCTTTCTTGGGTCTTGTTAATGACTGAAGGAAGCATAACAGGCAATAGTACACTTTGTACGGTATTACATGCTTGCCTACACTAGTCTATATGCATAAGTACCTTTTGATGGCACAAAGGCAACATTGAGGGATCGTTTTGATGACTGTATTACTTCCTCAAAAATGCTTGCTGTACCAGCCCCCACAACACCTACCTTAACATTTGGAGTTCCAGCTGCCCTAAAGGCCAACAACAGGGCAAAGTCTATTAATTTGGAGAATATAAAATATCAACAAAGTTTATACTAAAATGGAAATTTTTAAAGGCCTTTTCTCCATACTTCTTCTGGACATACTATCAATTTGAAGCAAAGACAAATTCAAGTCAAATTTGAGCAAGAAAGAAACAAAATACAAGTCTTTAAATGCAAAATTAGCCACTTTTCTAGTTTATTATGTTATATCCCTTACTTCCATGCCTCTAAGAAGACTGAACCCGCTTCAGGAGAAGTTATGACAATCCAGTCAAATGTAGTATCTGCTGCCAACAAGGACCATTAAAAGAAGAATGTTAGTAGAAAATGTTAGTACATTTGTTTGGACTATGCTAGCTGAGCATGACTAGAACTTTAAAAAAGGAAAACGGAGAAAAAGAGAAAGAAAGATGCAGTTGAAGTTTGGGGCAAAAGGACAGAATGGGTTTAATAAGAATATGAGGCAGTAGACTGAGTGACAGAAGGAAAAAGCTATGTAATTAACAGCTACTCCTGCAAGTTGTCATAGGGAAGAAAGGTCTTTTTATCATATAATCTGATGGCATTATCTGCAAAACTGCTTCACATCACAAACAAAAATAAAGAATAAAGTTGGAGAAGTTACCGCTTAATACAGTAGGAAGTCTCTCCAGATCAGGCCCCCGTGTATGCTGAATGAGGGGAAGCTCCAAACAGCTGATTCCCTGCTTGGCCTGTACTCAACATTTGAATATCTCATCAGCCAAAGCAACCTATATGCTACAAGTACATATTAATACATACATACAAACATGCATGCACACATACATACATACATATAAACACATACATTAATAATGTATATATATGCATTGTTTTGATGCGCAAAAAATGTCTACTGGATATGATATTCCAGAAAGCCAAGCAATGCTACTGCTACTGATTATTGATTTAAGGTGTGAAAATCCATTGCTCACACTCAAACAACTCAGTCTCAGTCTAGGAGAAAATCAGAGAATTGAAATTCGAAAATCAGTGAAAATACCAAAAAATAAAAATTAAAGATTTAAAATGCTAAAAAAAGAAATGCCGCACATTGGCAATCACTTTCACATTTAATCAAACACCTTACGCTGGCAATTCGAAGCCAAATCGCGGGCATAAAAATTTAAAACGATTTGCATAGTTCGACACCATCAATTAATAACAAATGCAGAGTATTTACAAGATAAGATTTAGAAAACGACAGAGAATCAAAATGTAGAACCCTAGAAATCGAAGGGAACGCAACGGTGTATCGGAACAGCTAAATTCCAGCACCTCAAGAATATCTCAAAACGAAAATGGCGGAGACGGAGAGAAACGCATACCAGAGAGCTGATGAGCTTGCCATTCTTGCCTCGCTCTCTGGTCACGACGACTTTGGGGGTCGAATTCGAATTGGAGATTGATGAAGAAGAAGAAGAAGCTTGGATTCTAGAAGCAACCGCGAAGATTCGCCGGTGAATTAGCGGACAAGAAGGTGAATAGGAAGCAGAGGAGAGAGAGGAAAGAGAAAGGTGTGCCATTGGAAACGTGTTGCACAGAGAGGATCGCACAAGGCCAGCTATTACCATATTGAGTATAGCAATCTAATTATTCTATTAATTTGTTTAATTAATATTAATCTTCTGCTTAGAGCATCCATAGTAGGGGGTGTAAATTCAGGGGTGTAAAGTCATTTTTACATCCCCTTTACACATTCAGAGGGTATAAATATGTTTTTTTGCTCCAATGAGAGAGTGTAAATTCAGGGCTGTAGTTGTGGATCCCAGCCTTTTATGTTGACTTTTCTTCATTTTTTAATCTTTTCTCGAGTGGGTCCCGCATGTAAAGGATGTAAAAATAGATGTAAAAATATATTTTATTTTACATCCCTATGATGGTGATGTATATTTACATCCATTTACATCTCTCTATTAAAGACGATTCTGATGACTCGAGTACACATCCTCACTATGGATGCTCTTGGCCTCTGAAATTATAAATTTGTCCTCCGTAAGTTAACTGACCCACACGGCCAAAGTATGACACGTGGAAATGAATATATGCGACGCATGGCAGTTCTTGGATGGATGTGTCACATGGCTGTGGCCTGTCCTCCGAGCATCCAACCAATCAGCTTCCTGTCATGTGCTTGTCTTTTGAGCAATGATTGTGCGGCACGTAGTCACGCCATTTTTTTTTATATGCGATTTTTTTTAAATGGTCGGACAGGATTCCTTGATTTTTAATCTCCCACCGTTGCCTAAGTAATTTTTATTGAATTTTTTCACATCTGAAAATTTGAAGAAAAACGTTACATTTACCCCTGTACCTCCTCTCTCTCTCATCTTGCAACGTGAATTGATGATGGAACTGTGTGTCTATGCAAAATATCAACTAAATTATAGTCTCAGAAATATGATGAAATAAAGAAGAACTAAATATTTTGATTAACAGTACTTAATCAAATGATTACCAATTTGATTGATGTTACTGCATAAATAAGTTTGAAGATTGAGAACAAGTGCAAAGAAAATAATAAGATATTCAAGTTAAAGTGTAGACAGCTAAAAGAGGAGTTTCAAATTCGCAAATCTTTTTATATTTGTCTCCGTACCGTACCCTTGGTATCAAATTCGTCCACTACTTAGTGTTTTGCTAAATTTTGGTCCCCATGTGTCCCAACTGCCCCAACCCAACCCTGGGGTGTTGTGCGCCCCATGATTCCAACACTTGCGAGCTCCATTACCCTAATATATTATATGCATCCTCCTGTATGTGTTTTCTGAAACTCTCTGCTTTTTACGATATATGACTGTTGAGTAAGTTTAAGCGTTATATGGCCCCCCGTACGTTGATTTCAGCTGTCAAATATATACATAAAAGCTTGGGACCTGCACAATGCACAATGCACAATGCACAATGATGATAGACTGATAGTTGTTGTCTACTATCATTAACACATGCTACGCACATTATGCTTTAACTCAATATTTTATTTCCTGTCCTCCAAGTTATTGCTTCTAATTATCAAGAATATACCTGCATTTTCTAGCTAGCCCCATCTCATTCTCCAGCGTCTCTGGATTATAGATGTGTCGGTTATTCGAAATTTCGGGAACAATTTACGTTTTCCCGAGGCCCAAGTAAAAGCTTCATACTAATGCTTTTTCTGTTTGACAGTTTCCTATGCATGCTTCATTGATCCACACTAGGTTTGGTGACAATTCAAAGCACACACACCACAAGATAGCATCACAGCAGTGCAGCTTCTGCAAAAGCATGCCCAAGATTGTCTCGCACCTTTTCAATTCATGGAGGCAATGTCAATGTGTTGATCCAAGAATAAGTTTCTCTTAAAATTACGTAATTCTAGAGAAATGATCAACCAAATCCTTACATACCTACCTCAAGTTGTCAAAATTCAGTTCCACTCCACAATTAGAGGGATTTTATAAAAAATTCCAGAGACCCGAGCAAATTACAGAATAAGCGACTCTATAGTCATCAAGTCTGATTACTAAAACTACTCATGCAGTTCGCTCGGTTCACTCACTGTCGGTACCTGCCTTACAGCACAGGAGTAGCTGCTGGCTCAGCTTACTTGTTGTTGGTGGGTGCCATAAACAGGATAGGCTCCATATGCAGCCGCGGCCGCAGCATACATGCTTGGGTCATGATGTGGTGGCAGAGCATAACCATAACCGTCATAAACTGGTCCTCCATAGTAAGCTCCGGCCCATTGGTTGCCAAAATCCGTTCTAAACTGCTGAAAATCAAAACCAAGGAAAACAAAGTGGTGAGAAAAAAGAAAAAGAGGAAACTGGTGGCAGATAATATTAATAAAATGAGTGGCATCCAAGGTTATTGACGAATATTGGATAATGTCTCCTAAGCAATAACTGAACTACAGGAGTTCTCACTTTTCAATTGTGTTATTGTAGAAGACGATCATATAATAACAGTGAAACATGTATAGACTACCCTAGCAAGGATTGATAAAAGATATGTCCAAGCTAATGGCATGGCAGGGGCTTTATAATTGTACTTCATAAAAAACAACCAAACATAACAAAGGTGGGTTCTGTTTTGGGGATGGTATTTATCAAAAGAGAGAGAAACAATGCCTGCTTATTTGCTGGATTGCGGCCCCATGAAAGTCTGACTGTTTGCTTGCCAATTACTGTGCCATTCAGTTTCGGCAATGCCTCCTCAGCGTTATTTCTGTTACACGAGATCAAAAGGATCATGTGCCAACTCGTTGTCAAATAAAAAGTATACCACCACTAATGTTGCAGAGCAATATCATGACCAACTGTTTACCTGTTTGCAAATTGTACAAAACCACATCCTTTTCCAACAGGTATTTTAACAGAGACTATCTCTCCATACTGAGAGAAGGGCTGCCTGAGATCTTCATCGGTAACATTAGGATCAAGCCCTCCAACAAATATCTATAATTGACACACAAGTCAGCCAAGGGGAGAAAGAAAGATAGTCTCCATTACTTAAAACTATGAGAATAAAAGACTCACTGTTGTGTTTGTAGAATCTCCATCAGATTGGAACCCTTGGGTTGGTGTACCATTTGAAACATACCCCCCTGTACAAACCGAACCAAAATATAATCAGATAAAAGAGTATAATATTCAAGCCATGGTTATGCAAAGATCGCCTCTTTCACAATATAAAATCATAGTTTGGACATGCAACAATCCACCAGGGTGGTGGACAAATACATCACAAAGGGCAAGAAAATTACGAATAGCTTATCAAAAGAAGAAGGTTGATGACTATAACTATTCCAGAAAGATATCATTTTAATGTGCAATACATGGGAAAACAGGCTGGTACTTACCAAAATGAACAATGTTAGGAGATAAACAGCTTGGCTGCTCATTGCCATAACAGAAGTAAAACTACAGCACCCAGATGCTCTTATAAAGCCTTACAATATATACACAAAATTTGAAGTAACAAAGTTCAACTTCAAATATACAAGGCAAGCACAGCCAAATACCTTCTTATCAAAAACTAGAACTACACACCTTCTTATCAAAAAGTAGAATTAAATACCTTGTGAAGAGTACTGTTGCTGATATCCAGATGATTTCCTAGGAGTTGCAGCCCCAATGCGCATAGGTCTGCTCGAACAATAAACACCATTCATTTCAGTCATAGCCTGTGACCTTTCATTCTCATCTCCAAACCTCACAAAACCATAACCCTTTGAACGGCCAGTATTGGCATCAAAGACAACTTTTGCAGCTTTAACAGACGGATATTTACTAGAAAAAGTTTCGTGCAATAAACTATCTGTAACATCTGCAGCTAAATCTCCTACAAAAATGGAAAGATCAGGAGCATTATCTGAACGCTTATCGCCCGTGCTAAATGTTGCCCAGTTCAGACGGAAGGGTTGTTCTGTGTTGGGCATTAAAATGCCAGTATAGGTCTGTAGAACTTTCTCAGCTGTTGCATGTGAAAAAAATTCTACAAATCCATAGCCCTCTGATAAAAGAGTCTGCTTATTCCGAATAACCTTGATGGAGGCAATCTACATGACATAAGAATTGTGTTACCGAAAAAAGGCACAGTAAAAAAAATAGTGGGTAATTTTTTTTCAAGAAATCAGTTTAACTGGGAAATAAAAGACAGTTTGTTTTCAAAAAAATATATTCCAGCTGAGAACAGTTTTAGTCTTCAATTAATTGGAAGAGATGTGACGAATTAAAATTCTACAAGCTTCATAAAGAAAGTAGAAGGGGAAAAAGAATAAAGAAAGTAATAAAGAAATAAATATAGTCTTTCCTACGGGGCAAAAAAACATAACTTTTCCTAAATATACCTTCTGTCAGAACCAGGTCTTATGAATGTCGATGCATGTATTTGATTAGAAAATATAACAGAAGATTGAAGTGAGCAGAACCAAAGTTCTTGCCCGTTCTATTTTATTGAAATAGCCAGATGAAGCTCCAAGCACCCACAAGTTGACCAACATATACACTCAAAATATAAAGCTTTTTACTTTTGGGATTAAATTCAACGACTTCCTCTACATTTTTAGTAAATTAGTAAGGTCCCAGCCGGATATTCTACTATTATAGTAATACAGATTCATGGTCATGATTTACCTTCACATCTAAAAGACTTCCAGAGCTCGCGTATTTCATAATTGCCTCAAAACACCCAAATGAGAAAGGGCCCAGACATATAATGTTCTTGCACATTCTCATACAAAATGAGCCACCAAAAGGGAAAAAAAAAAACTTCCAATAGCATACAATTATAACCATGCCTTCTTCTTTTCAGTAACGAGTTACTCTCAAAAGTCAAAACTGCATATCCTCTTTAGTCCTTCACTAATTGTGTTCAGCTTAACACTTGCATTCATTCACAAAAGGCTACACCTTTAACATTTTGTCATGTATACCAAATGTAGTTCAGATAAATATTCCAACCCATAAAACCCAACACACACAAAACGAAAATTATTTGAAAAAAAGAAACACTATACAAACAACATCAGAAAAACCCAACCTTCAAACATCGAAATGCTTACAACCCA